GAAAGAGAGGAGAGGCAGATGAGTTAGGACTTATGGAGCTCAAGGCTAAGCTTATACCCCGCTGGCCTTCAACACTTGCACCAACCCCGAAGAAAGCGGGAAAAGACATGGTATAGAGAGAGAGAGAGAAGAATCAGATGAGTTAGGACTTATGGAGCTCAAGGCTAAGCCTATACCCCGCTGGGTTGCTTCTTTTTTGGGCTGCCTTAAACACTTGCACCAACACCGAAGAAAGCGGGAGAAAAGAGGGTATAGAGAAGAGAGAGATAGAGAGAGAGAGAGAGAGAAAGAGAGAGAGAGAGAGAGAAAGAGAGGAGAGGCAGATGAGTTAGGACTTATGGAGCTCAAGGCTAAGCTTATACCCCGCTGGCCTTCAACACTTGCACCAACCCCGAAGAAAGCGGGAAAAGACATGGTATAGAGAGAGAGAGAGAGAGAGACAGAAGAAGCAGATGAGTTAGGACTTATGGAGCTCAAGGCTAAGCCTATACCCCGCTGGGTTGCTTCTTTTTTGGGCTGCCTTAAACACTTGCACCAACCCCGAAGAAAGCAGGGAAAAAGAGGGTATAGAGAAGAGAGAGAGGGAGAGAGAGAGAGAGAAGAGGCAGATGAGTTAGGACTCATGGAGCTCAAGGCTAAGCCTATACCCTGCTGGGCTGCTTCTATATTGGATCGCCTTAAACACTTCCACCAACCGCGAAGAAAGCGGGAAAAGAGATGGTAGAGAGAGAGAGAGGAGGCAGATGAGTTAGGACTTATGGAGCTCAAGGCTAGTGTTTGAGGCAGTCATTACAAAACTCGGTGGGTATTACTGATGCACATGAGATAGGAAGCAGCCTGATCAATTTCAAGAGTTTGTCCTAACTCATGTGTCCTTGCGCAAGGTTTGCTAGAAAAAAATCTAGGCTTGTGCAATTAGAGATAGGAACTAAGGAAGTTAATTTCAAGTTCTTTTCCTAACTCATGTAGTCTGCTCTATCATGGCGTTCCCTGCTTTTGAAGTTCGCATGATGCGTGACTTGAGGCTCTTTGTGGATGTTAGGAAAAAACATGAGATAGGACCTAGAGGCGTACGTGACTCCTATCACATCTCTGCTGGAACCATTAAAAAAATACAACTTGAGCCTCGGCAGGACAAGAGTTAGGAGCCCGCCCCAGGGATAACCCAACTGTCTGGAACAGCTAAATCCTAACTCACCAGGACCTAGTATATATATATATATCTTCACATCATATTACAATATCTACACCTATGTCTCTATCTATATCTGTATCTGTATCTATATCTACAGACTGATAAAGGTGGCGGTCGAATAGGCATTATTTACTCAGTCTGTTCTCCCAAAGTCAGGGCATAGTGACTGGTCCCAGGTCTGCAGAAGGCTTTTGGTGACTTCGGACACATCTATCAGATCCTGGGCTGGAGATGATGGGATGACACTATATCTGGTCTGTGGATCTGGTCTGTGAAAAAGTGGAAGGGGGAAGTCGCCGGTCCGACTTATTGATGCTGGTACTAGTGTAGCAGTGGTAGCATAGCTTATCATAGAGATATCTACTGTAACACTTGAGCCATCTTGAGCCCTCTTGAGCCAAAGACTCAATGATAATGACATGGGTTTGTCTGAAAATGGGGTATACCCCCAATTATAGCCATTTAATAGGGATAATGATCATTAACCATTGGGTTTAGGGGTACACTATTTTCAGACAAACCCACATCCAAAAACACCTGTCAATGTGGAGCTTTGACCCTATCTGCCTTATGGATCCAGTACTGATCGCAGCTGAGTCAGACCAAGGGTGGTGAAGCGGGTGCCCTGACACTGGTTACCACTGGTTGATGGTTAAGATACGGTTATCGTTCCTGGCTTAATCTGGCTAAAGCCCAATTCTTGCAACCCAGTTTGGGAAATCCTTTGGCACCAAGAACAGAAGTACTCAAGAACTGAGGGAGAACACGGCCTAGGCCTAATTACTCTCTTTGCTGCCTAGCGAAGAAAGGAATGCAGGGAATCAGCAGTCACTCAAGGGGAATGCAAACTTTGGTAAACCATAAGAACAAGACACCGGTCTGATATCCACTCCAAACACAACAGGACCTCGGTGGAAGTGGAAGCGGCTTGTGTGAATCATTTCTGCGAGTCAATTCATTCTGCGTGAGTTGCCGCAGCTGTGCGACGATAGAAATGTGAAAGAAGAGCGTTTCTTTTGGGCGCTCCTCTTGTTGGAAGTTGGCCCCCTGCTCAAACCTTGCGAGCAACTTCGGGCGCGCATGGCGGCTTGCAACTGGTAGCAGCTTAGGTTTGCGCAACGCTGGATTTGGAAACGTAAAGTAGTATAGAGCCAAGCCCTTGCCAACTGTCGTGTTTCCGCTTGGTGAATTTTAAGCGGTCTTTCTTTAGTCTTTTGCCTTGGCATGTTTCAGAATATTTTAGAATGCTTTTTTCAGAAATTTTCTTGGATGCGCAGTTTAGTTTTTTTTCCATCGCGCACCATGGCGAGTTGCCGTCGCAGCGAGAATGCGGCATCCGTGAGGATTGAAACCCCGAAACCCAACTTGGCGTTCTTGGCGTTCGCCGAGAAGGCGCCGCCTGCTACAAGATCCGCTCTTGGATGATGCTTCCACGCTGGACGTAGTCTAGCTGCAGGGATTTGATTTGGATTGATCTCTTTCTTCTTGTCTTCAAGATGCAAGGAAGGAAAGCGTCATCTGTGATGTTGCTTCTTTTTGATCGCTTCGTTTTCCCATCTGGTGGTTTTCCAAGGGGCACGCTGGGTTTTGAAGCTTTGGGCTGCAAGTTGGTGGCGCCGCCACCAAAAGCACAAACATGGTGGGTTAGTATACCCGCCGGGCTGTCCGTTCACTTTAAGTGGTTCCATGTTTGTTCCACCATCGTTTTGCTGGGCATCTGCGAAGCAAATATGGGCATCGGCATGTTCATATACATTGACAAAGTGGAATTCGCTGGGACTTTGCCAAACCTTAGGGGTAGAACAACGGCAAATGGTTTATTTTGTAATTTTGTGTCTAGGCAGTGTGCTTTGGGTGAGTATTCCCCCTACAAAATGCTTGGTAAATTTGAATAATAGTAGATCCCAATATTGTTTTTCCTATTTGGATTTAAACCTAACCAGTTACCTCTGCTCAACATGTGCCAATGGAGGTTGACGCCATGGATGCGTTGTCATCGATGGATGGCAAATCCATTGAGGTTGGGCGGTTTCATGATGGTTTGCCAGGGGGTGACCCAGGCTGTCACCAAGTCGCTGTAGACTTGCGCAGCCAAACACATTTTGCATTCATCAGCATTCAAAGATTAAGAAAGGGGAAAGCAGAGAAACATAGATAAAGCACAGAGCAGGAAAAAACATAGATAGATAAAGTGCAGAAAATAAACATTTACATCATGTACCCATTTCATGATATTCTGTGTGCTAAGTCAGCTGGACAGAAAACACAATGTTTTGAGAGGATTTTCCCCGATCAGTCATGAGATGCAACAAACCATGGGTTTTACGCTTTGATGGCATGCTTCGTGAATTGGAGGGTTCCCAACAACTGAACTTACTGTAAAATACATCTGTTCCACTTTGGAATCGTTTACACCCCGCTGGATATCCGTTCGAGGCGAGTCCCTGAATTTGGATGGTTTTCCCGTGTTTCCCCTTTCGGGTTCGAAATAAGTAGAATGAAGGTCTTTCAGACTGCGTAAACCTTCCAGCAACTGAACGGATCCGGGCCAGGTATGGCCAAAGATTTTCAGGAATGGACCATGTTCATTCAACGCTTTGTTTTATTTTGGTATATTTTGGTGAAATTTCAACTGCCCATACCAAATTCCAACCAATGGGCGGCTTTAGATTGTTGGTTGGTTTTTGGCTGCGATTTATACAGTTTTTCTTTTGTGGCCAACCATTTGATTACCAATTTGCAAACGCATGGCCTTCAGCTTTCACACGGGCAGCTATGCTGGTTGGAAGTAAGGAATCCGCCATGTCAAACAACAGACATATATACATATGTATATATATACAATTATATAATATAGAAATATATATGTATATATATATACACATATTATTTGGTACCCCCAAACTCATTAACCATCCCAACTTGAAGGTTTAATAACTTAGGATGGTTTATTTTTGGGTTGCGGCATCGGTTCGAATCAGTGCTGGGAAACCTGTGGTGGTGGCCTTGCGTCAGGGCCAGGCCATCACTGTCAGTTGGGCTGGGCCGAAACCGCAGAATAGGTGAGGGGCCAAGGGTCCTCGACAGACGGGCGGGGTGGGACAGAGGAAGTCGGTGGGTTGGTGGTTTCACTTGTTTGATCTTTGGGAAAGTCTACAATAAACCATGGAAATTATGGTGCAACCAAATAGGCGGGGGTTCAGTAAATGTCCTTTGAATCTAAACGTTTCGATGGCCTGAGAATCCCAGTGCTCATTTCATTTTCTAATGGAGAACTAAGACACAACTGCATTGAATTCTGCCCGGGCATTTTGAGATATGTACGAGTATGAGTCAAATCTGTGCCCATATTCAAAAAACATATAATCATAATAATAATTTATAATGATAATAATAATTATTATTTTTATTTTACATTCACTATTCAATTTGGGCGCCCCACTTTTCATCCATAACCACATTTTTATGAGATGAACCACTTTTGGACGTTCAGATGTCGTTTCGCGTGGCAGGTGCAAGGGATTGCGCACCTTGTCAAAAGTGAGCAAAACGTGAGGGCTTTGTAGCATTTCCAAAAATGATAGCAGGCGTGGGACATTTGAAGAGGATCTGCACAGATGCCTTTTCCGTCGCAGGTGCAGTACAAGAGACATGTTCATCAGACCTGTTAGGAGGTCCGGGCGCCGATTTCCTGAGAGGGGTTGCATTTTGGAGCATCAGATCTTCAGTTTTGCTGAGATGATTTTGCCTGACAGGTGCAGCAATTCGTATGACCTGGCATCACTTTTTCGTGGCAGGCGCAGTACTTTAGAGGAAAAAACGCAAAACGCATTGGTACGAGGCCGTCAGCTCTGCACTCAACTTTCCATTTTTTAAGGAAGTCTCGCAGAATTGTTTCGTTTTTGATGTTGTCAACTTCGACTTGTTTCGTTTTTGATGTTGTCAAGTTCAAAAATTGAGGAAGTCTCGTAGAATTGTTTCGTTTTTGACGTTGACAAGTTCAAAAATTGAGGAAGTCTCGCAGAATTGTTTCGTTTTTGATGTTGCCAAGTTCAAAAATTGAGGATGTCTCGCAGAATTGCTGCGTTTTTCAAGTTTACAGATAGACAGACAGACAGGCACACAAACAGATAGGACAGACAGATAGATAGATAGATAGATCGATAGATCGATAGATCGATCGATCGATCGATCGATAGATAGATAGATAGACAACTACAACCATAACTGCAACTACACTACACTACACCACTGCTACAACTACAAGCAAATATATATATATACGCTACGCTATTGTACGCTACACTAATTACACTACACTACGCTAATTACATCTAGTTACACTACACTACACCAATTTCACTAACAACTGCAACAACAACTACTACAACAACTACAACTACAATTACAACTACGCTACACTAATTATTGCAGCACACTACAGCTACAAATACAACTGCAACTACAGCCGCGCTACAGTACACAACACTACATTACACTGATTACATTGCATTACGCTACAACTACAACTGCGGCTGCAACTACAGCTACAACGGGCGGGGTGAAGAGGACAGCGAAGGACGAGCGCTCGATCCCTTGTCATCTCAGGTTGCCTTCCTGCCGCTCGACCTGATTCCAAAAGGGGAGAAAACGAGCTGGGCGACGAGATCTCAGGACTCAAGATCTATGAGGTCCAAAGCGGCCCATCACGAGCAGACACAAAGATCGTAGTCACGCTTCGAAATTTTTCTTCGAGCTACAACGTTGGTGACAAGGTCAAAGGAACAGTTGGTTCCATGCACCTGCGCGCTGTCCACTTCGACATCGGAATGATCAGGAGTGCGACCGCCACGCGCTCCACATTGTCGAAGGATTACGTGAAAGATGAGGAGGTGGAGCTGCGAATCACAGAGATCAACGGTGACGAGGTGACGGTGACGGACGATCTTCACCAACTAGCGGCTGGCCAGAGAGTCACAGGCACGGTGACAGCTGTGACCGAAGGGTACGGCGTCTCATTCAACATTGGGGGGCGCGAGGCCTTTGTCCACCTAATCAGCTGGCGAAGCCGCTGCACCTGTGCCAGGAAGGAGAAACTGTTGAGGGTTTGCGCATTCGCGATATTTACCTCGACCATATAGAGGTCACGATGCGACCTTTGACGTCTGACGCCAAGGTGGGCCAAAAGGTCAAAGGATTTGTGACTATGCGGCACACGGGTAACGTATGCTTCGATGCCGGCTTCAGCGTCGATGTCATGGCCCCTCGCGATTCGCTTCGCAAACCAATTGAAGAATACCAAGAACAAGACGTCTACGAACTTGTGGTGACAGATGTTCGAGGACACTATGTGCTGGTTTCCAACAAGCCGCCGCAGGAAATTGCCATGTCTGTGCGTGGCAACTCCCTGAAAGGGAAGGCGAAGGTTGTGAAAGTGGCAGCCAGTGGCCTTTTTCTGAGCATCGCTTCCTGCTTGGAACGAGCATCATGAAGGAGCACCAGCCGGGTGAAGAGGTGAGTCGCAAAATGGGTGCATCTTCCAAGGGCGTTGGCTCAAAGAGCGAGCCATTTTGGCTCAAGCTGAGCCGCATTGACGCATTGCTCAAAATAGGGTTCCTCCCAGCTAGGTCGGTGGGATACAACCAAAGGCCCTGTGTTCCTCCTTTGGGTCACTACATTACACTACACTACACATACTACACTACACTAGACTACGCTACACTACGCTACGCTACGCTAATCACACTGCACTACACTTCAACTACAACTACACGACCTGACACTAGACTACACTACACTATACCACACTACACTACACAACACTTTACACTGCACTACGCTACACTAATTACACCACACCACAACTACAATTGCAACTGCGCTTGCAACTACACTAATTACACTACATTACAGCTACAGCTCCACTACGCTACACTACAACTACAGCTACAGCTGCAACTACAACTACAACTGCACTACACCACACTACATCCAGCAGTTGTGGTAAGGTGACCACTGCAACCATTGCAACCATTGCAAAAAACACAACTCCAACCACCTGTCGGTCCATCGGTGGATTCGCTCTGCCATCCGTGATTCACAACAACCAACCTCTCCTATAGGTTTTCTATTTTTGAAACTTCCGCCACCGCCTTGTGCGGCATTACTGGTACCCCCATATCTGTTGGTACAGAAATCATCACAACTTTTTTTTTGATTGATGCCAGGATTTTGTTGGTTGAGACGTCATGACTGTTAGGAATTATGTTGAGCATCCTCTCACCTATACCCCATCGGCCAAGCGCTTGGAGCAAAGCTGCGCTGGTGAAAAGACCGAGGCCTGTGAGAGAGTCGCAGGTGCTCACTTCCACAAAGTTTGAACGCGAGGAGCGGTCCTGGGAGAATCTACTAAGGTACCCTCTGGTAGTCAAACGTGGCTGGCTGGACAATTCACAAACCAAATGGAGGTTTCAATGGAAAAATCAATATATATATATATATAGATGGGGAATTTTCCATTGCCATGTTTGATTGCCAGAAGGTAGTAACATTTACCAACAAGAGCTCGGGATATGGACCAATATGAACCAGCAACACTTGGGGGAAAAATTCACCAACAAACTGGTAGAGGTTGGTAGTTAGTGGTGCCAAATAACTATATAACAAGTTGCTATTTTGCATCCAACAAAATGCGACAATAATTCGCACTGCATTTTTTGGGCCGTGAAGTTATGGTCATTAAACATTGGGAATTGGGTTTTTAACCATGGGATGGAACATCTTGAGACTGGCATATGGTATGGATGATATGGGGATGGATGGACGTTTGCTGTTTTTCTTTTAACAATGGGGGGGTTTGAACATCCATAGATACATATCAGTGTGAACTACACGGTGAAAACCCTGTAAATTTCCCCCTAGAATTCTGGGAGACACTTGGACGATCTTGGACGGCTATATCACCGAGGAGGACATGGAATGTGTTATCGATTGTGTTTTTTTGAGCCACGTGGTTGGTTCAAAATCATTAACCGTTCCAAATTTATCATAGGTATTCACAGATCCAAATGATCAACCCCCAAAGTAGTAAAAATCTTAATCACCCAAAGTGTGTGGTATGTGCGTGGTAAGGCTGTAAAATATTCAACAGATCAGTGACCAGCCACCTGTGCATCCAAATAGGTACCCTGCTGGTTTGACCAATACTGAATGGATTTTGGAGATGTCTCCACCAAACATCCATTTGTCCCGCTAGTGGATCTTCACAATCTAAACTCTGAGTTTTTGGTGTAACAGCTAACTAGGATTCCGTTTTTCCCAGAAAGAAACGGTACCAGCATGTGCGTGGCTTGTTTTGATAGTAGGTTCCAAGCCGCAGGAATTTATCATGGGGCGTTCCATTTGGGGATGGTTTATCCTTGGCTTTACCGTAAAATATCATCACAAGTTGGTGCCATGAGAAATCCCATGATATCCCCGTGAAAAATACCCATTCATATCTGAAAGTTTCATAGTTGGTGATGATATCCAAATGATACCCCACGACTATATACCATTAAATACTCCATTACATGCCCATGATATCCCCATTGAATCCCATGTGAAATCGCTGGTGATTTTCCCCTTTCAGGACATTCAGGCAGCGAGGGCCAACTATCGCCCGGGCTGCAGGTTTTTGGAGTTGCGGGGGTTGGTTGGTGGGTTGAGATCTCAGTTTAGCAACTGTTTGATGTACTTAATTTTAGTCCGGAAAAAATATATGACCCGCAGTAATCCTCAATGTTTGCGTGGTTTGTTTTATATAACCATATATAACCCAAATTGCTGGGGTGTTCAAATCAGCAGCCCCAATCGTTTGGAGGGACGACTTTGTGACGGACGACTTTGTGACGGACTATTTGGGTCAAAGTCACGTGAACAACATTGAACATCCCCAATTAATTATAGTGATTATATGTTATTATATATTCTCATTATAATCCCACTAGCATGTACATTATATATGGTGATTATGTTGTGTTTATATTGTGATTCTAATTAGCCAAATTTTACCCCACTTTATTCCATTGAAATATCACAATGACATGCCGTGTCACCGAGGCCCTCCCAGCCCCGTGCGGCGTTCGAGCCGCTCGCGTGGCCGCTCGGAGGGCCGCGATCGAAACGACCGGGGCGACCGGGGCGACCGGGGCGACCGGGGACGGCGGAGTCGAAGCAGGTGGGTGGGTCAACAGGGAAAATGAGGTGTAAAACCATGGAAGTTCAAGGGCTTTTCCAGACAAAACCATGGGTCATGGGCTTAACAAAACATGGTTTTTCAAGGGTCATGGGTTTTAAAACCATGTTTTTCCATCATTTTCCAGAGAAAACTAGTTGTTTCATATTGTTGCTGGTGGATGTTGGTGATACATTCCCATTGTACACCCACACATGATAACAAGTTGGTGACTTGTAACCAATAGCTACTTATATCCCATTTCACAATTAATATCCCAAGTTAGTATATACCCAATAAACATGATATCTCCAATTAATATCCCCAATGAATATATAACCCAATTTCATATCACTGTCCCAATAAACCATGCCAGGAGGCGCACCAGGGATCGCCGGAAGCGAAGTTCCGACAGCCGTTGACCGTTCTTGACGAAAGGTAGTGGCTGGCCGTTGAGCCTAGGGAGGTGTGGATCTCTGCGTTTTTATGGAAGTTTATGGAGGTTTATTCTCTGAAACGAACTTGGAACCATTGGAACATGTTCCACAATGTTGCCATGTTGGTTGCAGGTTTTTATCTGGGCAGGGTTGCTTGGATTTTTTCTATAGATTGAACATTTCAAGGTCAAATTATTCAATCACACTCTTCAAGGTTTAAAATGCGAAGGTCCACCTGAGTCAAGTCACCCGTGGCGATCCACACCTTGGCTGAGAGAAGAATCTGTAGCGACGAGAGTTCCCTTTGGGTGTTTCCAGAAGACCAAAGCGTTGTGTTTTTTTTTGCATTCACAAAACAAAGGCCTGACAGGCAAACAGGATTGTCTCATCAATCTTAGTCAAATCCCAGTTGTCCAGACTACACCTCAGTGTTTGACCACGTAATTTCCTGACGACCGCGACTGAAATATCGCGAAAATGGCAGAAAAGAAACTTGCTGAACTTCCTCAGTTGGGGTGTGCTGGTTTAATTAGGGACTGGGTAAAGCACATCAATTTGGAATCATGAGGAGACTAGTTCCACCCAAGTACTTTTGGAATGGTGGCCGAAAGAGTTTGCGAGTACGGGTTTCCAATGTTGCCTTTATATAGTTGTCAGTTTCCCCAAGTTTTGATTGTTTTACACTGCCATTGCTTGTGATTTCATCATGGGTCATCTTGTCTTGGCAGGTCTGGGCTCACAACGCTTCAGCCGGCAGCGGCTCCCTTCCACCTGGCAAAGGGTGAGCCCCAACCCTTCTGGCAGATGGGCCTGCTTGGGCTGCTGTGAAGCTGGTCATTTTGCCCAACCCACGGTTTTTTTTGCCTTTTAAATGTTCAGTCATACTGTATACCCACTATTTCGGGCACAAAATTTTGCTGGAGCCGGACCTCTGCCAGTGGTTGAATGATCCAGTTTGCATTTTCCCGTGTACTCCGTTTGACCCATACCGGTGGGAGAGCGTGGAAGTTGGCAGTGGAATATGTTGAAGTTGAAATCTCTGGTCTTTCATGTCTGGAATTGGACAGCTGAGATTCTTGGAGCATACTCAGGTTCAGCTTCATGGCCCTGAAAGGTACTAATCTTCCGACTTCCAAGCAGTTGAGAGATATCGTGAGATATCCACCTCACACCAATTGGTGACCCCTGGTGACCCCTGGTGACCCCTGGTGACTCGGTGGCTTTCTGTGCCGCAGCTTCCGCTAATGATCCGCGGGGACTGCCCCAAGATGGGGCCAGAGTCCTATAGCGCACCCTCCACGCCCCCGTTGCCACGCGGGGGCCCCAGGAGCGTGGATTTAGACCAATGCTAATTCTATATAGAATATGTTTATATATGGCTCTATATATGGCTCTATATATGGTTATATATATATGATTATATATGGTTATATTTGGTTATATACGGTTATATAAATATGAATGATAATCTATACTATACGAATGCAGGTTTTAATACACCGACTACCACCTCCAAAGCTTACCATGCTTGAACAAGCGAAAGGCATTTGAAAGAGCTGAGGTTGGGCGCTGACCGATTTGTGTGCCACCCAAAGATCAGTGCAGACTGATACCAAGTTCGGTGGCCCAGATCAGTGCAGTGCAACAAGGACCCTGTGACAGTTGGATTCTATGTAATTATTGTCATGCTTTCCCATTGGGCAAGACTGATTTTTGGAAAAAAATCGGGCAGCCACATCACCCGAAAACATCACTCGCTGCAAGACCTTTGTGGCAATAAGTACAAAATACCTGGCCAGGAGCATTCTGGGATAATCCAACTCAAGTGGGGATCCAGACTTAACATTTGATTACATTAGATTCAATTTAGATAGTGATTCAATTCTATTATTTAACATTGCATATTTTGAACATTACTTTGTTGAATATTCTACCTTGGGCTCCCCATTTTCATCCCAACGGAATCTTCAGCAGGTCCCTGAGCAGTGGACGAGCCTTTGTGGTGCCTCGGTGGCTGGAAACCGCAAAAAACATCGACTCGTTGGCATTGGCCTTGGGAAAAGATGAATCCTTTCCAATGGTGTAAGCATATATAACGATATATATATATACACATATATAAGTATGTATATATATATATTATAACCATATACATATAACATCATATAACCATATGTATATATAACCTTATATAACCAGCCGTGATATGTTTTGGTCCTCATCTTTTAAATCGTTTGGCATCCACAGTTTCATGGGCTATCCTTGCGGAATCCGATGCTGTCACTATTTCTGTTCCCAATGGGACGCAGTTGAGCAAGTCTCAGATACAATGAAGGGTGCCCACCAGTTATATCCAGCTGTACCCAGATAATCCCGTAGAATTATAAGTTATAATTATAATGTTTTGTATACATATAATGTTATATACATATCATGTTATATATATATATAATGTTATATAGTTATAGTTATATATATATAATGTTATATATTTACATATAATGTTATAAATATAAATCTAAATCTGAATATAACAATACAATAAATAAATAGATAGAGACATAAATATATCCCAAGACAACTGGAGTTACACTACGATAACAAGGACAAGGATAAACTTGGGACCATCCTTCGCCACGGCTGTGGAGGGGCCCATCCAAACTGCCCCGAGGTCTCCAAAAAGCCTTTGAAACCGCTGAGTAAACGTCCCAGATCTCCCAGACATCGACGTGGGGGTCTCAGAGGGAGATTTGTTGTAGATGGCTTCGTTGGCAGATGCAACCAAAGTAAAGATTTATGGCAATACGCAGACATTTTAGTTTTACAATCGCACTACAAAGCATCTATTATATGGTATTTATAGGTTCAAAAGTACTGCAATGGTATTTCAGGTATTTCCATCAAGGCAACTTTCCTTTTCGCCAATGTCGTGTTACGTTGAACGCCAAGGCTTCACCAAGCCTACTCCTGTGAGGACATCGTCATGAGATGCTTCCAGTGACCTAAATTGGGTGCGTGAAAATGATAATGAACCAGTGGATTTTGGGCCCATTTAGGCACATATATATATATCATACCTAGCTATCTGGCTATCTAGCTATCTATCTATCTGTCTATCTATCTGTCTATCTATCTGTCTATCTATCTGTCTATCTGTCGATCTGTCTGTCTATATATCTATCTAATCTAATCAAATATAATCTATTATAATCTTATCTAATCTAATATTATCTTATCTTATCTATCTTATCTTATCTTATTTTATATTATCTTATGTTATCTTATGTTATCTTATGATATTTTATCTTATCTAATATTATCTTATCATTATCTTATCTTATCTATCTTTCTATTTACCTATCTATCTATCTATCTACCTATCTATCTGTCTGTCTGTCTATCTATCTATCTATCTATCTATCTATCTATCTATCTATCTATCTATCTATCTATCTATCTATCTATCTATCTATCTATCTATCTGTATATGCATATATATATATATAAGTTATATAAAGATATAAAAACACATGTTCCATTCACGTTATGATGATCAGTTGCCTAGGAGGATCGTGGCACCTGTGCCGCAGCCTCTGGGCTGCGCCCCCCTGGCACCGCAGCTGCCCAATGGTCTGAAAACCCAACGAAGTGGTGGTTTGATGATGGTTAAATCAGGGTTAAATTATGGTTAAACATGGATAATGAATGTTAATGATGGCTAATGATTGATCATGGGCTATTACTGGATATTACTGGTTGTTTCATGGGATGTGTTCATAGGATTTTTTGGCATTTTTGCCATGACAACCGTGGTGATTGTCATGGAAGTCCACGGATCGGTCGTTTTACCCCGGATCCCTCTGGTCATGTGGCTGGGAAATTCCCTATAAGATATTCATAAACGATTCTTTATAAACCATTGTGGGCCATAAATGACTATAAATGACTATAAATGACTATAAATGACTATAAATGACTATAAATGGACTATAAATGACTATAAATGACTTTAAATGAATGACTATAATGACTGTAAGAATCATGACTATAAATGACTTTTTAAATGGTGGACTATAAATGGTGGACTTTAATAAATGAATAACTATAATGACTATAAGAATCATGACTACAAATGATTTTCTAAATGGTGGACTTCTAGGAAAGCATGTTTGATTACCGGAAGCCATTTTTAGGAACGACTAGAACATGAGATTTGAGCAGCAAACATGGGATGTAACCAACACAGGTTTGGATTTACTGGGACCAATAATGATTAGTAACTGGTTGGGAACTAGGTTATTAAGCCGTTAGTCTATCGGAGAACCCAACGGCTCGGGGACTTACTGACCAAGGTTATTAGCCAGTTACGATTCAAGGTGGAATGATCCTCGAAGCCTTTCACAAGTCCCAAGTGGCATGGAGTATGCTACAGGGGTCAGTTGGAATTGTCTTGGAGATATGGATTTTTATCCAGCAGCCAGAAGATTTGAGATATTTGTTTGACCGGGTACAAAGCAAAATATATTGAAACCAGGGGTTACCATTTGTAGATTCTATGCCACTCGCTGGCGCATGCGGTCTCAAGGTGGAGCTCTAAGTGCCATGGCACCTGATTTTGCGGTACTCGAAAACATCTACATGGGTCTGTCTGAAAATGATGGTTAACCAATGGATTTAAAGAGGTACCCTATTTTCAGACAAATCCACATTTGAAGAATCCCTCGAAGTGTGACTCCCAGATCTCTTTCCCTTGTGTTTGCATGCTGCCTCCAGAGTGCTCATGGACCCGTCGCTGACCAGCTAGTAGAATCTAACCTTGGCATGTGAGTGTCCTCCCGCAACAATGACACGATCTTTTTCAGGGTCATCTTCCGGTATAGTGGGAGATAGGGAACGGAATGATCATGAGGAACAGGTACAAACACTGATCACTGGATAAACAATTGAATAAACCCGCTCCAGTCCTTGGTTCGGTCCCCGAATTTGGTGATTTATTAAAGTGATGATATTGATCATTGGTAACTTATTAAAAATTGTAATTACCAAAACTAAGCCACCCATTTTGGGGTTGATGATTTTGCAGGAACCTCCCAATTTTCGCGAGGTTTTGAAGTGCCTGGACCGGAGCTAAGCTACTTGGAGAATTTGGGTGGATACAAAGGATTACAAAGGTGTGTTTTGAAGATGGCAGCTCGAATTGGGTCTGAAAGTGGGGTAACTCCTTACCCGGTATTGAAAGTCACTATTGGCATTTTTTGTGGTTTAAATGATGTTCTCAAGGGCTCACCCTGAACCCTGTTTCAGATACAACAATAAAGAACTTGGCCACAACACTTCAAATCTAAACATATCTAGAGGATGCTGAAATGGGCGCGGGCCAAAATCTCTGATTCCACGTCCAATTGAGCAATTTGTATCAATTTGTGACCTTTGCAAGGTGCGTCTTTGCCCCATCTGAAACCACCTTCTCCCGCAGGGAAAAGCGCGCTTGGCGGCTCCAGTGGGCGCGGATCCCGAGGGAACCAGATTTGATGATCTGCAACTCATGTGTTTGGGATGGTTTAAACATGTTCTATGCTAAAACCCTACAGATGAAGGTTGGCCAAACTGAGAAACTGTGCCATACCTGGCTTCGGATTGCTGTTTTTCACAGGTCGTGCTGAATTGACGATGATTTGATCTGAAACATGTAAAACCGTTGATTTTGAAGCATCTTGGACCAGAGGATCCTGAATCATGCTGGGTTTTCTGACAATTGGAATATCTTCAGACTGTCAAATCTGTCAACATACCGTGTCAGATCTCTGGCTCAGGGCACCCTTCTTGCTGCAGAGAGTGCTCAGATTCTCCGAGGCGGAATGGGCTGGGGTGTTTGGCAGGTTGCTGTTTCACTGGGTAACAATGCCCCAAGCAGCTTCCCGAATAGATTGTAGCATAGCCTGAAACAACAGAATTGGTCTGGATATGTCTGGATTGAAACCATTTGATTTTGATTCTTTCCAGCAGATTCAGCAGATGTGTTTAGGTCTGGGTCAAGAGATTTGAAGTTCTGGGAACCAGAGATTTCTGATCCCCGCCCACTCTACTCTCTGGGTGTTGCTAAGAGCTAGAGCAACTCTCTCTCCAAGTTTCAAGCCTCTCGGGACTGCATTGTCGAGGTGAAGGTCTCAAAAGATGAGGAACCCTCAAAGCCCCCCAAACGAAATCGGACATAATCATATACGTGTGTGTGTATATATATATATATTGTCCCATCCCCCTAATATTAAACACCCCCCAGAAACCATGGTTTAGCAGGGAATGTCCACAATCGTTGGGACCATTTAGGGGGTGTTCAATATGAGGGAGATGGGATTAAACAATACAAATATATATATATATATGTATATAGTTATTATTATACATATGACATCTGTTTTGCAGTCTTCGGTCAGTACCCCCATCGGTTTGGGTTTATCTGCAGATACCATTCACTTCGTAAACCTGTAAACCCTCGGACGCTGCAAAAGGCATGGTTTGAGCCCATCGCGGAGCCGCGATTGGATGATTGGCTCGGTAAACATCGGGTAGCTTGGCAGGAAAATCCCTGGGAAATCCATAGGAAATGAATGGAAAGTGAATGGAACATCCAGAGACATCCACAGATTTTGGTGTAACCCCCCTGGCTTTTGGGAATTGTTTCCTGAAATCAATCCATTGAGTGTGGAGACGCATTCCTGCAGGATAGCGTTTGGTGTCCTATGCTTTGAACTGCAGGTTCCATGTCCTACTTGTAGTACCTGAGAGGTCATTTTTTTGGGGTTGAGTTCTTGGGAGGTAGATGTTTGAAAGATTTTGAAAGTCACTGATGTGATTCTCACTCCTTGTCAAGATATCAGATGAGAATAGATGTGCACAATTAGTCTTCAGTACTTCAGAACACCCAAGACATCGTCCAAAACTCCTCAGAACTAGGAGTTCAGAGCTTGTGACTTGGAAAAGACGATCGATTTGACAGACATTCGCTTCAACCCCCCATTTTTCATACCTGGCCCCAGGGGCTACCTGTCCTTTGATGAAGTTTTCGTCGCTGCCAAGGAATTGATGCAAAGTTTTGAAGCTTTTCGTAGTGCTTGGGAGGAGCAGATTTTCGCAGATTTTCGAAAGGAAATCCCATGGAAACAGGACATTTTAGGGACAGCCAATAATTGACAAATATGGTCACCTAATATGTCACCTAATATGTCACTATATGTCACTATAATCCACTATAAACCACTAAAATATTGTCAATGCAAGCTCAACTACACAAACTTTTTTAAGCTGAGAGTCGTCCAAGTGAGACAAAGAAACCATCCTGCAGTGGGCAACGCAGACTGCGGTGTTTTGTTTGTATCGTTTCAGTTGTTTCGAGAGGACGGCTCAAGGTGAATTCATGGTTTTGCTAGCAACAGCAATGGATCAACCATGATCAGGCCAATAATCAGCGGATCAAGAGATTCGAGACTTGTTTTATCTTGTTTTTTTTGCCCGAGAGTTGCAGGCTCTCCCCACTTTGCCCATCAAATCTGCTGGATCGTCAAATTGGATTCATCAGGGGATCAACAATGGAGCAAGAAGCACTTCATACCCCTGGGACAGCCTTTGCCGGGTCCATCTGAAAATGGGGCACCCGCAAATTTCAATGGGATTATACCAAAAGGTATGTAGACCCAAAATTTGGTGATTATACCAATTTCAATAGAAAATAATGATAACCCAAATTTTCTATGTCAAATGGCAATTTTGGTGGTATACCACTAGACCCAAGTTTCAGACGTTTCTCAGACCTGCCCATCTCATCCCATATCAATATCACTGAAATGTCACCGTAATTGTTCTGCAATCACCGAAAAATCTCGAATAATTCCTCAGCGACTCAGCAGTCCAATATCAATTTTCCAAAATCCACATGAAGATATAATTCCTAATTCATCCTAATTCCAACATAATTTTCACTATATCCTAATGCGTTACCATGATCCACTAAACATGTCACTATAATCTGCTAATACTACAATTACTGTAATCATCTATAATCCACTATATGTCACTATAATCCACTATATGTCACTATAATCCACTATATGTCACTATAATCCACTATATGTCACCTAATATGTCACCTAATATGCCACCTAATATGTCACCTAATATGTCACCTAATATGTCACTATATGTCACCATATGTCACCATATGTCACTATAATCCACTATAATCCACTATAAACCACTACAGATTTCCCAGGAACGCCATGGCAGGAGCAGCGCGACTTCATCGGTCCCAACGACACGCGGCGCGTGATGCACCTCATGGCTCTGGGACCCGAGGAGCAGGGGATGAAGTTTGGTGGTTGAATCTTTAAACATAATGGGATATCTTGGGATATCTACTGGTGATATAATGGTGATATAATGGTGATATAATGGTGATATAATGGTGATATAATGGTGATATATTGGGATAGTTCGTAAATAGCAAATGCAGCAAGTTATATAAAACATTAATTGATAATTTGCTATCCTTGCATGGGGGCATACTAATGAGCTAAAAATATCTAGAATCTAGAAACATGTTTGCCTCTTGGCATGGTATCTAAGATTGGCCAGTGTATGATATAACACATAAGCGATGGATATACAGATGGATACCGATGGATACTGACTCAGCAGCTTAATCATGATTGATATTAATCTAATATTACCAGCGATTCTGCAAGACAAGTGGCGGTGGTGGCAGTTTGCCTACTCTTCCCTTTGTTGAAATCAACATTTTTTGATATTTTTTGATTGGTCATATCTCCATTCAAGTGCTCATCAAATCCCCTTCATGTTTGTCGGCTTAATTCAAGTCCCCATATGTGGGTTTACTTAGTTTACTTCAAATATGAACAGGTCATATCCCTATTTTCCATCATTTTCCATCATTTTCCATGATTTTCCATCATTTTCCACAGGTCAACACATGGTCAAAACCTGGTCAGCATGTTCCTACTCGTACCGGGGGATGGTCATCCCAGTGATCCCAGTGATCCCAGTGATCCCGGGATGCAGCGTCAGGAGCCTTCGCCCAAGGTGATGCAAGTCTTACAGGTGCGACCAGCAGCACCCCTGTTGGGGCCCCAAATGATCGACCCATCGACCCATTGGGATTTCTTGGGATTGACCAAGTCGATGACTTTTCTATGACATGATGAGTTCTGTGTCTGGGCAATGGGGTATCTTGGGAGTTTTTTTTGATGTACTGGAAGTGCTAGGAGATTGGGAGATTCCCCACTTACAGATTATAGATGTTTTTGCATGCTTTTGCCATCAAGGGCTCCATTGATAGGGGATTTCCTATTGCCATGTTTGATGTCCGAAGGGTAGATCTTCGAAGTCTTTTAACTCTTGGCATTATAATATGTAGAAACAGCCCAGTCGGACATGGGCCGCTACTGTACACTTCTCTTCACACCTTTCGTTGTGATTTCAAGATTCTGAATTCAGAAGCCCAATTGTCTAAATGGTCTCGGATTTTCAATGAAGTCCCGAGCTGAAGGTTCCCACTGTTTGGAACATTTTTTTGACATCTTCAAAGCTAGGATGCCATGACTCTTGGTTGGTTTGAACTGGCATATTCATGTAGGATCATGAATAAAACGTCGCAGATCTTCAGCAGGTCTGCCCAACCCTTCAGTGTTTTCCCGTTTTTTCTTTTTTCGGAAGAACCCAGCGGTTCCCAAGAGTTGGTGTTTGTAGCGAAGGTGCCTTAGGCAGGCTCCAAAGCCATGGGTTCCCATCAACTTTCCCTGCAATCCATGGGGTATCAGATCCTGAATCTCTGAGAATTGGCTTTTCGGGAATAAAAAGCCAATGATTTCCTGCAGGAAGCCTGTGCCGCTTTCTTCTCCCCATTGAGAGCATGGCCCCTCAGTGCCACTCAGTGCGAGCGGTGTGGAAAAGGTGTGAATATGTTGAGGATTAAAACTGCTGCCTTATACCAAAGGTATAGCAAAGGTCTTGATATCGAAGATCATTTTATTTTGCAAAAGCAAATCCGGCCAGTCGGATATGAAATACCACACGCAGACATGGAGAATCTGCCCTCGTTGTTGCACATGAGGTTGCGGTCATTAGGAACCGGCCAGAAAAGAAGGCAGGTTTTTTTTCCGACACCCTCAAGTCATCTCAAGTCATTGTGTTGGCTGTACATACTCACTTGGAGACTACTGGTGAATACTGCTTTGTAATACTTTGTGTATCAGTTGTGTGCTGGTATCTTTGCCTAAATATATGATGAGGGCCCACAGCTATGAACAGGAATATAGGCAGAGAGAGAGAGAGAGTGGCAGTACAGTAGGCAAACATGCGCACGAGCTACGTCGTTTTGGTGGTTATATTAGGGATTACTATAATTACTATCATCCATTACGAAATTTTAATGCAATGGTTTCATATGGTTTAATTAGTTTGAAAATAATTATATTGGTGTATCATCATTTTCCCTGGTGCAACAGCCGTTTTCTGGGGAGGTAATCTCCATTTTCAGACACACCCAAATAATTGATATATATATATATATATACATATTATTATATATATATTATGTTATCTGATATTCTATTATATTATATCATATTATGTTTTATTATACTGTATTATTTGAATTTCATATAAATTATATATAATATAAGTAATATATAGATTATATATAAATTATACACATATATATATATTGATTGTTGGTTAAGTTATACATCCCACTATAATTCCATTGTTCTCGCATTATATGTCCAATTATATATGTAATCAACAATGAACATATATGGGACAGGTTACATATTCTGCCATTATATCTTACAAAATTAGCCCATTATATATTGTTGGTTAAGTTATATGTATATCTATATCCCATTAATATCCCATGAGTAGACCATTAATAGCCAATTATTCTCACATCATTGTTGGTGATATATCCCATTAGATTAGATCCCATATGATATTTTTGAATATGGGATGTTGATGGATTTTGTTGATTGTTGCCGGGATAGATTAGAAAAATAGCCACATATTAGTATCACAGTATGTTGTTGCTTAAGTTATATATATATATCCCATTAATAGACCTTGAATGTTCCATTAATAAACCATTAACATTCCATTCATCTCAATTTATAGACCATGAAAATTTATACCATGAATCTTCCTTATTCCATGAATATAGCATTAATAGAAGAATATCTCTATTTAATTAGACCTTATATACCATTAATATACCATTAATATACCATTAATATACCATTAATATACCATTAATATACCATTAATATACCATTAATATACCATTAATATACCATTAATATACCATTAATATACCATTAATATACCATTAATATACCATTAATATACCATTAGACCTCATTGCTGGTGATCTCGGCCCTCAAAAAAAACGTTGATTCGCCAGGACATCACGCCTCTCCGCTGCGCCTCCCCGGAGGGCAGGCATGCGGAGCATCCGGCGCGGGGAGGCCAAAATATTTAGGCCAGTTATGGCCAGTTAGCCTCTGGTAAACATACAAAAAGCTATTGAAAATGGTGATCTATAGTGGATTTTCCCATTGAAAATGGTGATTTTCCATTGTTATGTAAACGTTTACCAGAGGATAAAGACATTCAAAGCAGTTGAAATGATTGAAGAACAGTTTAAAAACCACTTGAACACTGTTTTTTACACTATTGAAGACTATTGAAGACCATCTACTAAGTTAAGTTGACACCCTCATCATTAAAGTAGTGCTACATTGCATTTTCATATTTTTACTTGGAGATGATTGTAGACTTCTAAGCGCACTCAGGCCCCAGCCCTTGGCGAGTGAAGATGTGCTTAAGCGGCTGGCAGCAGGTCGGATCCAGAAAGTTCGATCATATGATTTTGGACAGAGATAGATAGATATAGATGTATGTATATTATGTATATATATGTATTAGTTATACAAATAAAATAATATGATATACAAATAATAGATATGTATATATATATATTATACATACAATTTTAATATGTCAGAAATGTGTATGCGGATGCATATATGATACCTATATGTTCGCATGTATGATACCTATGTTGCATCCTCAAATTGTATCAAATTGTTGGTTCAGCTCAAGCTACCGCTACTCCCGCTACTACCCTGCGCTTTGAAGATCATCTTCGGGGCGAAGATCTCTGAACATCTCTGCACGACACGGCATATATATGTTGGAGCAGTGTCCAATCTCATCCCATTATACAATATATTATAATATCATCCCATTATTATTGGATATATCATACATATATATATATATATCCCATTATTATCAATATCCACAATCATGGGATGATCATCTAAATATGAATGGGATGTTTAAATCTTATAATCCCATCAATAAATCCCATGATTTTACCATGATCCTCCATCAATTACTGGTTGGTGGTGCAATAACCATCTTGAAAAATATGACTTCGTCAATGGGAAGGATGACATCCCATATATTATGGAACATAAAAAATGATTGAAACCACCAGCCAGATTAGTTAGATGTTTTTTGCAATTACCCTATGGTTTCCCATATGGTTTCCCATTCACCAAGCATGCCTGGCGCGTGAGACCCGCCAGGCCTCCGCTCCGACTCGCTGTTGACCTGCGCCCTGACGTTGTCACCGCTGAGCTCCGACGGCAAGCGGAGCTTTGGCGCCAGCGACTGGTGCCCTCAGCGGTTGGTTGGGCGGCGTAGCAACATTCGAAAACTGGTTGGTGGTTTCATTTGTTTTTTATTTTCCATAATATATGGGATAATCCTTCCCATTGACGAACTCCATCATTTTTCAAGATGGTTAAAACCACCAACCAGAAAAGGTGGAAAATCAAAAGGAAACAAATACTCCATGATACTCGCACTAGAATATATTAGATATAGTAAAATGATGAAGTAAAATAATGATAAATGACTGTTCCATTTTTCCGTACTATACTTCAGAATCTCTCCGTTTGGCGGATGATGACAAAGCCCAAATCTGACTGTGAAGAAGAACATTGAAAACTAGACGATTTTTGCATTGGGAAAATTTATTCACAGACGACCCCAGCAGGTTGCGGAGAGTGCCATTGGACCCCAGCAGTTTCGCAGGTCGCGGCGAGTTGGAGTCTTTAGCTTAGCTTCGATCCTGGAGGATGGGATGCTTCACTGTGCAACCATGAGCTCCCAGCGTTGTATACGCGTAAAGACACCACCACTTGCGGTGCAAGTGGACTTAACAACTCTGTGTGTGTCACCATAGTTAAAGGGGTTATATATATGGTTGTTATCATGTTATATCCCAACTTATGGATACATTATATATGGAGGTTAAGATCCCATGGTTTAACGCACGGGTTATATCCCAACTTATGCTGATTAACTATAACATACTATAACTATGGTTATACCCATTGCCACAACACCAACTGCAAGTTCAACCGCCAGCTTCGAGATCGAGTGCGTGCAGGAACCCTTGTGCCCTTTGGTCATGGAACGGACAGCAAAGTTCCTCCTACATCAGGTGGGGCAGTGAAAATCGAAGTGTTGAAGATGGAGCTGAGCGGATCGGTTTATATAAAAAAAATCCACAAGATTACTGGCTCAAATCCCACTTTTGTCGCTGAAATCATCATTAACCACTATTAACCATTAACCATCATCAACCATCATTAACCATCATGAACCATCATCATTAACGACAGTTTCAACATGTCGGAACCTTGAAATAGTCTCCGGACGGGAAGGTGTTTTCAAGTCTTTCCGAACAGCGTACGGGTGAGTGGGAGAGGTGGGGGGGCAGTCTGTTCTCAGCACATTGCATCGCAAAGTGCAACTCTTCTTTCACAGGACTACGTCACAAGCTCCTTTCCCGACTTGGCATTCTATGTCATAAGCTTCTCTGATGTCACATACCAGCTCGCAATCTTGATGCTCCGTCACAAGCTTCTATTTTGGTTTGACATTCATCCAAACTGCAACATGCAGATGCACATGATGAAGATGTCCTGTGCACGAAAAGCTGTAGCGAAAAACAAAGAAAGAACATACTGAAATTACGAAGCAGAAGAGAACAACCATAGATCAAAGAAGTGGCAAACATGTCACTTCTGCAACACGCACTGAGTACTGAGATTCATCCACTAAATATGATAAATTCACATTGCAGAAATGATATGAGACGTGCAACAATTCAGTGACGCACTGAGGAGGTGAACCGCCTTTTTTGGGAAACACAAAAAGGCTGAAGAGATCTGAGGAGATCGAAAATCTAAGACTCAAGTCTGCAAGAATGCAGAAGTCCACCTCCATATTCAGGGGGGACAGGACGTTTTCGCGGATGGTGCTGTCAGTGTTGGAGTATCGGAGTATCGTATTGGATGGACTTGGAATTGCAGTGGGTTTCTCCCATGGATTTTGTGTAATTGGGGCTTGATGGAGCAAGATTTATTGGTTGAATGCTGTGGCAGTTTGAGTTTTCTTTACGCAGGTGACGCACATGTTTGGACTTCTTCATTGTTGCTGCTTGGCGAGCCAATCATACACCCAGCCCCCTGAGAAGGGCATCTTGAGTCAGCGCTCGCAGGACACTGGCAGGCTTGATTATCTACAAAATCCTATGGATCAGATGGCAATCATTTGCCATATTATAATATATGCCATTGAATGTTGATATTATATGCCGTTAAAATCCATTAAATATATACCATTAGAATGTTCAATGGAAAGCCTTCAATGGGCAGAATGATGGTTGATATGCCATTGAGCCATTGTGGGGATCATCCCAAAAGGGACTGCCAAAAACTGGATCGGAAAAAAACATCGCCGCTGTATTCATCACCAGTTTTCCTATAGTTTCCTCATTAAAAAAAAAACACATAGAACACGAGGTCATTTTCCCCATGAATCACAACAAACTAGGTGTCCATCCCCCCATTTCCGCCCACCAAGCCCAGTGCCCCAGGTTATTTCCGTTGTTTGATGAACGGTGCTGCGCACCAAGAGGAGGCGGATGGTCGACCGCCGGGGCACCTGATCTACATTCATGGTGGATTTTCCACAGCTATGTTAGTGAAAAGGGCAGGGTAGCCTGCATTAAGTGACCCCCCAAAAAAGGATTCAAAACAAGTGTGAACAAGTGCTTTATAAATTTGTTCTAGTGGGAACTGACTTTTCTATTTCTGGAGGGGTGCTATAAGTTTATTGTTTGTTCCTTATGTGGCAGGACCATCCACAATTAACCATGGGGTTTAACCACCAGCCAGTTTGATTGATTAGTTGATGTTTAGCCCTCTATCCGACCATCCCGCAAACAGCCCTGAACATGCCTTCTCGACCCAGAGACCCGCTGATATCACAGTCAAGCTTTGATCCAGTCATTGAGCCAATTTGGCAATAAGCCTGGGGGTAACCTTGACCCTGGCAATTCTGGAAGACATTTGAGCTTTGGGATTTAGCTGTGCGTCTTAACCCATGGGATCCCCTGTAGTCCCTTTTTTTGCTGAGATTGGTGTTCATCTCTGCAAATATGGTAAACACATGTAAAAAACATCATCACCCTTCCATGAAAGTCTCATTAAAAGTTTATGGTTAAATCATCTTAACACCCCGAAAATTATGGAACAATATAGGTAACTTGACACATACCGATTCATCGGGGACCATCCTGACATATTAACGACTATATAACGACAGAGGTTTCCTAAAAGGGTACCGCCCCCCCAGACATATAATCACTGATTGATCACAACTTCCACCATCATTGCCGTCCGCTCGGCCAGTACTGAGGCCGTATCTCTGCGGTGTGTGTTTAAAGAAGCTGCAACTGGTCGTATCCTGGCAGAGTTACGGTGAAGTTGGCGAAAAAACGAAGATTCGATGGGTTTGAAGCCACCAAAGGACGGGGAGATCATGTGACATAAGATGACATCATTGGATAGAATTGGATCTATGGTTCGGTGGTTGATTGGCGGTTGACGGATGCTTGATGGATTATTATTATGGAGGTGTACACCAGCGGATTGTTATACCATAATATAACGCATGATAGGAAAACGATTCACCAACCAGTATAGTAGGGACAATAAGATCATGACTTCCACCAAATCCACCAGCCTTTCCCAGACGGCCCCAGACGTCCATGGATCCTTTGATGCGGTACATGCACTTGGCTCGCTTCTGGGCATGGCGTGGATGCCCGGTTATTTACTGACAAAATACGGATCTGTTGGGTTTCAATTTCTGGGGCCTGGGACTGACACGAAAATGCACCCCGAAAAACCGGAACAGTCCTGGAACCAACAGCTGGCACCTTTCGCTGTTGGGTTGCAAAGCTAATGATTCATGGGTGGTGATGGAAGACATATGGCTGACAAGGTGTGGCCGAATAGGGAGGGACAAAAGCTTGTTGGAAGGATGTTGCGATCAATGATGTTGTCTCACTTTCATTCACTGTCCAATGCCATTTTTCAAATTCTGCATGTTGAATGTTGATGACCTTTCCTCCCTTCACAGTGTCTGCATGTTGAATGTTGATGACCTTTCCTCCCTTCACAGTGTTGAAAGCACACTATATACATCAAAATTTTGGTGTTTTACCTATCCAAAAATCAGAAACATGGCGGAGATGGGGCTAAACCCAGCAAGAAAACAGTCCATCAAAAACCCTGCAATCCCTGCAATTCCGCGCCGCCCCCAGGGCTGGAAGTCCTCAAATCGCCCTGTGGTACGAGACACGCGTGCGCGTGGTCCGAGCACCAAGAGGCTGGAAAATCACCATGAGCGATCTGATACTCAGTGATACGGTGATATTTTGAGGTCCGTGGAAAGATGACATGAACATACATGAACCAAGCTAACGGTAATAACATTGTATTTAGGGTAGCCATGGGTAGCCAAGATAGCCAAGTCACTAAGTTCAATAGCTGAAACATGGCAGAAGAGACCTCAGCAGTAGCTGATATCCAACATATCCAATGCCATCAGGATATTCTCGGCAATGAATCTAAGCATCTTTCGGCAGACAATTCACAGTTCGCCACTAGAAATCCATAGATAGTAACCCCATGTAAACGTCCAAGAAGATAGCAAAGGTTTAGAATGTTTAGATTTACCACTGTTTTACTACATCCCCATTCCAATAACCCCACCTTCTCCAACCTGTGCTCCCCATCTTTTAAGACTATACTTTTGGAGCATGCAGGTTCCATTCCCTAGTTTGTAAGGGGATTTTAGGACGATTTTACTACTCTCTCTCTATATATATATATATAATTATAATATAATATATATATATAGTAATATGTAATATATATATATAATGATAATATGTAATATATGTGTTATACGATGTAATATATATATATATATCGTGCTTTGATGTTTTTTGGGTTGCAAATAGACATCTGGGGGCACTTTTTAGCTGCTTAAAACACTGAGGTGCGAAGCACGTTCTCCACCTCTCAGGTTGGTGACAAGCACTTGGGGTTACTTCGGTATGGATCAATACATTATATTACCCGATGGTAAACTAACATAGCTATGGAAAATCACTATGTTTATATAATAGCTAAATCACCTATCAATCGATAATTTTCCAGAGCTTTGTTGGTTTACTGGAGGGTATAATATATACATTGTACCAGATTTTGGGGATGAACAATGATGAAAATTCATAAATCCCAGCAATTCTGCTGTGAATCACAGGGTCTTGGTCCCTTGGTTCCGGGCTTTGACCCGGAACCAGTTGAGAATGTTGGAGGGATTTCATTTGAAAGGTAAGTCATCACCATCATGTTGTTTGGTATGATTTTGGGGGCGTGCCCTTTGTGACTTGTCAACGGGGGCTATGAATCCATATGAAGCCATGGTAGCCTTAGATGGGCTAAGCAAATGCCCAGCTGATATTCTCAGCATTTAAGAATCACTTGCCTTGTTCGACATATTTGGTATACTCTATATTATATAGATTCATATAGGATAATTACACAACTATATGAAAATACATACACATATACAGATATACATGTATCCAACTCCAAATATACATGTATAATACTGTATATATATATATATATACATATGTGTCTATATAATGATTCTATATAATTCTATATGTATCCATCACAACTTTATATATGATAGTAACATATAATAGCTTCAGCACAGAGCCTGGTGCAACAGACACCTGCCCATCTGCTCGTTGCACGCCTCATCCGCAGGTGCACTTGCCTCCAACGCCACGCTTGAGACCGCCCAGTAAGGATGTGGCCCGGGTGCAACTGTTTTTTCCTTTTTCCGCCAGTCGATGTATATTTTCTGGAGATCTCCTTTTGCTTGATGTTTGTAGGGAGCAATGCTATGCAAATCTATGCAATAAGTCATATATATATAACATATAACTATATTATATATATATGTGTACATGATATTACATTGGGAATGATCTATGCATACATCCATTCATACATACGTTACGTACGTACGTACGTACATTATTTTATTGGTGATTATCATTATCTATGAGCTGGGAATCCGGTTCTTAAGCGGCCAGTATCTCATGGAATGCCAGGGGGTCTGAGCGCTGGCCAGATGTGTTTCCACCTGTCCGGGGGATGTCTAGGATGCTCAACAACCTGGCCCTGTTGACGTTGTGGGAAGCTTCAAAAGTGCTTATCGAAATGGCATAATTTTACTGTTTCTACTCCCCACAAAAGTCTGGGGAACATAGTTGAGCAGCTAAGTTTTAAGTCCACCAATTGCACAAGACTTCGCATCCAGTTTTCAGCCGCAGCCCTTGTGTTTCCCCTTTCTTGTCGGCTTAACATCACCTTTTTGCGGTTTTCATTCAGTGATCACCTGCCCCAAGGGTGAATTTAGGAGACTCTAGAAGTTTTTTTTGGAGCTTAAAACCCTGGTTGCTTGTGCAATAATATGTCCATTAATATGGATAATATATCGATCAACATGTTTTTTCTTTAAACATATCCATTCATATCGATATCAGTACAGTACCGCATGCTACAGTATACATCCTACAAGTACCTTATGTGAGTTAATCCAAACGAACATAGAAATTGATGGATGTTCGATTCTGTAATAACCCAATACTATGGATTTAAACAATCGTACAGTTGGTACAATCCACATTCGTATGTCACATATACATATACATATATACACGCATGTATGGCTGTGGGTCAAATTCCCATACTTTGATGGGATGAACATCTATATTACGACCATTATCTCCCATTTCTCACCATTTCCCATTCAATCCGAGCAGGACAAGCGTAGCACCGGACCGAGCGAGGACACCGTACACAGCGAGGCCCGGTCGATCTGGCCGTGGACGCGATTTTGATTTGGGTGAAGCTTATGGTACACAATCCCAAAAAAAAAGTGGTTAGTCATGGTTAATCATGGCTGTAGAACTAACAAGATGAAGAATGGATAGTTGGAATGTGGGAAACCCTCAATAGTTGGGGATGGTTTGTACCCATTGAAGTGGTGATGGTTTATTATTGGGTTTCCCACTTTAGGTGCACTTTAGTATTTGCAAAGTAGGATTTTGACGTTTCTATTTTTTGGGGGTTGCTATAATAAGTTTTGGAGAAACCATGTTCCGTTAAATTTGCTTACTTAGTACCTTGTTTCGTGTTTTTGGGGAAACCCAAAAATGGTGGTACAGTTTTTATTTGTATTTGCTAAACCGCCAAATTACCTTCATAAATGTGCTGTGAATTTGAAAACCTCCCATTTGCCTAGAATAGCTTGGCCAATCTGATGGAATGATTTCATGCAATGCATGGGCTGCACCGTCAGAGCTGCCACAGCCATCCGCACGTTGTGCCCTTGTGTGATTTTTTGGAAGTTGCAGGCGGGCTCCACATCACGTGCGTGGTGGCGGCAGGTCACTGTAGAATGGTCGGTGTCAGTTGGTGGTTGGGAACAGAGCCAGATTTCTTCATCATGATGCTGATCTGCTGATATTGTGGAGATATGGCTTTGTCTTAAAAGTCGCATCGGCTTACCCTCTGGTGAACTAACATAGCTATAGAAAATCACCATTTTTAATGGGAAAATCCACTATTTCTATGGCCATTTTCCATTGCTATGTTAGTTCACCAGAGGGTATCATCATTTTCCTTATTAACATGGCCATTTTGGGGGACCAAATCCATCCATCCACATTTGTGCCCATGCTTACTGGTTCTTTTTTGCTGACTCATGTGGATTGTTTGCTAGCCATCCATCAACGCTTATTCACCATGATTAGCCATTATTAACATGTTCTTAATCATAATTAGCCATCATTAATCATTATTGACATCATGTTACCAGCATTATTAATCATTGATAATACAGTGACTTTGACTTTTCTTCAGATCAGAGGAATCACCGGAAAAAAAAAAACCGTGGCCAGGCCCCGAAGGAGGACGAAGCGAGGTGCCAGCTCCAAGATGTTGATCTATGGGATATATTCCCATGATGTCCCATGAATATGCTATGAAAATGCTATGAAATCTCTATTATTCACGGTTGCTGTTGTTGCTGAATTCCATGTCCATTGAAGAAGCTACTAGTCATGGCAAGTTCTCACCAGGAGCGAAGATGAGATGCTCCTGAAGGCCAGGCTTTGGAGGGCTATCCTGCTGTGAATTTTGCGCCGCCAAACATTTGGATTGAAGAATTATTAAAATTGGCAAGAACTCCTATTTTTCCCCAGGCCCCAGGCCCCAAACAGTGTGTCCACACTGAGGGGTTCTTACGGTGAGTGTAAAGGCCGGTGCTTGATCAGGGTGCTCCAGCTGGCCCACGGCATTTTACCTGTAAAATTTTGCATAAAATGGCATAAAATGGCTCTTGTTCAATGTTGAAGTGCATTGCGACTGCGCAGGCTCACATAAAGTGTGGGTCGCAGTTTTGGTCTGCGGCATTTTACCTGCAAATTCTCGCATAAAGTTCTTCTTGTGCAATGTCCAAGTGCATTTCGACTGCGCAGGCTCGCGCAAACTGTGGGTCCTGGTCTTGGGATCGGTCCTCCTCCTCCACATCATCCTTCTCAACATCATCATCTTCCTCCCTGTTGACCTCATCATCCTCAACATCATCAACCTCCACCTCATCTTCCGCAACATCAACATTATCATCCTTTTCATCATCCTCCTCAACATTATCATTCTCAACATTCGGAAACGGCCTCGCTTGTGCTCGTCAATTTGTCTTGCTTGTGCCTGCGCAGCCCCCTAAATGGTTGTTTATGCACACTTTGATACCTACACCCTGTCTCCTTGTCCCCAAGTCCCCCCCTAACCCCAAGTCCCCAAGTCAAGTGAGTCGTTTTGATGGATGCAAGTGAGGCTGGTTCCTCAACATTCTCATCATCCTCCTCCTTCTCAACATCATCCTCCTCCACTTCATCCTCCTAAACACCATCATCATCAACATGATCATCCTCAACATCATCATACTCAACCTCATCATCCTCAACATCATCATTTTCAACCTCATCGTCCTCCTGCACCTCAAAATCATCAATATCATCGTCCGCAACATTACCATCCTAATCATCACCATCACCATCATCATCATCATCATCAACAACAACAACAACATTATCATACCTTATCACCCACTCCCCCACACTGTTTGGGGACTCTTGCCGGGATAATTTTTTTGGGTGCCAAATTAGGTACAGACTCGAAGATTCAGGCATCATAACCAAAAAGCAGGCATCTATGACTGCTTAGAATTGGGCCGCAGGTAGGGTGTAAAAACAAACAGTTCCCATGATGCCTTCAAAAAACACAGCTACATAGATTAGATGGCTGGATGGATGGATGGACGGATAGATAGATAGATAGATAGATGGATAGATAGACAGATAGAGACAGACAGCCAGGCAGGCAGGCAGATAGGCAGATGAGCAGATAGGCGGATAGATAGACAGATAGATAGAATTATAGATGAATAGGTAGATAGATATGGTCACTGGTCAACCCCATGATCCACCTTGAGGTATTTTATATCGGCGTATATTTCTTTGTTCATTGTTTATTTATTCATCTTCTATTGCTGTTGGATCCACCTGGGTTTCTTGGCCGGTTTTTCGAAAAACCACAGCCAAACTGGCCGCAGGTGAGCCCGGGAAGTTCACCCTGAGGGCGGAATAGACCTAGTGGCCACATCAAGAAATGTGATCCCTGTAGGAACTGAAGCCACTGAAAATGTTTGAAAACCGTCAAAAATTGAACAATGTAGCTAGAAAAAGGGCCACTGTATGCTGTGCTCTGATCATAGTATGGTATACTATATCACTTTACTGCATATATCATATACCACTATATCATATTGTTTAGAGTTGATTTCCACATATCTTTCTCATTAAAATACATCTACTGTATTTCTGATGTATGTAGATCACTAGATTGATTGCTGTACTCCACAGCTGAATATGTCAACTCGCCAGGCTTAGAGGCCCCAAACAACGCCTGGGATAGAGATGATTTACTGAATGATATGATCAGGAAATAATATGAATAAAAATAATAATCGTGATCATTTTCATTCATTCATTGACAAGTATATTGACTGGTACATATATAATCATATATATATATCTATGATGTACAAATAACTATACTTTTATAGTACGATTGTACACACTTATATTTAATGCATGTGTACATAATTGTACATGTTAGGGGACGGCCATCCCACTTACACACCATGTATATCCATGTATTTCAAACCATATATCATTAAGATGGGTACAGCTCTCTGTCTTGAAAGCCACTGGTTTCGTAGATTTTTTTCTCACGGCGGCTGAACTCCTGCGGAAGTTGCGAGAATCGAACGGAAATCTTGGCCCGTAGCAAAACCCAAGAATGGCAATGGAAAATTGCTCCCCAGTTATAGATGATGTTCTCCTTTCCATGCCCATTAAAATCATTTAACATCGGGCATTTCCCATTGCTATCTTTGATTATGGGTATATGATCTCCCCAGTCAAAGCTGGGAGAATCTCACAGCTACCTTGATTGCCGTAGCAAAGGGTTGAATCCCATTCGTTCCATCCTTTCGTTTTGTTGTTTATCCCTTTGTCAGTGCTAAGTATCTACTCTTCTGGGGCCATCTGGGGCCATCCTCTTTGTTATGAAATCGCAGTGTGCCTGAAAGATCCTCAGAGTGTCGTCTTCATCTGTATGACATCATACTTCTCCAGGTATCTTAAGGTATCACAACGTTATGTGTCTCAATCGTCGCTTCACGTCGCAAGCTCCATGCGTTCTGCCGCCTTCTATTTGGGTTTCCGTCTCACTGCCCACGCAAACGCGTCAAACGAATTTCGGGCGCTGAAACCCACTGGAATTTCGTGTCGGCCGAGTTTACTCGACCGTGAGGAGGGGTGGACAGTTGGTTTCCACATGGCCACCCTGGACGGAGGTCAGCTGCCAAAGTGCGGTAGAAAGGCAGCAGCTCAGCAGCTCAGGGCAGCTTCCAGTGAATCCATGGTAATCTGAGCTGGCCATGGTCAACATCATTAAAAACCCCATGAAAATCTTCCAGTGATATCCATTTATAGGTGATATATGGTGATATTCCCATAAAAAAATGCCAGGGCCGGTGGATCTGCAACACCTGGTGTCGATGGGGTACAGTACCCAATCCCAATGGATCCCAATGGCCCAACGGCCTATCATCATGGTCCTTGAGTAAATTGGCGATTTCGTTGTTTCCAGTTACCCTATGGTAAATAAACATAGACCCTGAAAATAGCCTAGTTTTAATGGAAACCAATCTTCCAAACCCTATCTGCCAGGGTCTATGTTAATTTACCAGAGGGTAATCATTTTTGGACACGTCCAAAGTGGAATTATAGGTTGCCTTGACATGTCTTGAAGCATAGTTGCATGGCCGTTGCCAATCAAAGAAGTCGATCACGTAAAGTTTGAAGCCTCACACATCCAAAGTGAGCGCTTTCTGCCTGTTTGAGGGTTGTTCTCAGCTCCGTAAAGAGAACTTGTTTGATCATGTTTTGAGAAAATGGTAACCGCAATGCTCACAGCTGGTCGGAGTCTTGTTGGTTGGGGATTTACAGTATATATGTTATATATTGTTATAATATGTGTATATATATATATATGTATAATTTGTTCTCACCTTTTGGTTTGACTCTCATGGAAGTTGGCTTCAAGGATTGCAGACATCCCAAAATCTTGTTGGATCCTTCTTTTGATCTCTCCCTTTTGACACTGAGTATTCATGGCCTTCGCCCCTCAAAAAAACGGGACTGAAAAGGGTGTTATGTTTTTGTCATCCTCAAAAAAGTTGGAAAAGTATAATTTACCATCATTTGCCTCTGCCTTAGAGTGCTTTAGTAGGATGTGACTTTTTCTGCTCCCTTCGCAGATGGCGTGTGCCGCACGACGGCGAAGTCGATGAGCTGGTGGTGGAAGCTGTAGGTACCGGTGAAGTTGGTGCCCAGTCAGCTAAGTTGGTTTAGAAACCATAGTAACTACCCTCTGGTAATTTAACATAGCTATTGAAAATGGCAATTTATAGTGGATTTTCCCATTAAAAATGGTGATTTTCCATAGTTATGTTAGTTTACCAGAGGGTATCTGGTTGGTGCTTTGGAACATTTTTTATTTTTCCATATATTGGAAATAATCATCCCAACTGACTAATATTTTTCAGAGGGGTTGAAACCACCAACCAGCTATGGATATATATATATGGTTTTGATATGGTTATACAACTGGCAATATGGTTCATTGTGCTTCAAATGATTAGATATGATTATAACTAGACGATCGAGTAGGCTTTATATTATGCTGATTATATATGATTATAACAGATGACGATTGTGGCTCGATGGGGAAGAAACCAACTTGTAAACTATGGAGCACAACCTCAAAGACATATTAGACGTGATACCTGCAACAAGTGGGAGTATATGATGTAAATATCACCTGCATATCATCCCACTCAAACCAATTAGGATACACATTTTCCATATGGGATTTATCCATTATTTATCCATGTTTATCCAACAGAGCCTGGGTAAAAACAGCTGTTGTTGTTCTTTTTCAAACATATTTTTTTCAGCTGCCGAGGTTCATTGGTACCCCAAATTTGATGGTTCATTGGTACATGAAATGGTATATATATATATATTAATATGGTATATATGGTACAGGCCTGCAACCCCCCCCCCCCCCCCCCCGCGATGATGCAAGGTATCTCTGCTTCCCCGCCCCACCCTGTGGGGTGGGTTGGGTGTAGTATGTATGTACCTACGTAGGTTGGTAGGTATAGGCATGTATGTATGTGTGTATGTATGTATTTATGTATGTATGTATGTATGTATCCATGTATGTATGTATGTATGTATGTATGTATGTATGTGTGTGTATATATGTATGTATGTATGTATGGATGGATGGATGGATGGATGGATGGATGGATGGATGTAGGTATGCATGTATGTATGTGTGTATGTGTGTATGTATTTATGTATGTATGTATGTATGTATGCATGCATGCATGCATGTATGTATGTATGTATGTATGTATGTGTGTATGTATTTATGTATGTATGTATGTATGTAGGTAGGTAGGTAGGTAGGTATGTAGGTATGTAGGTATGTATGTGTATATGTATTTATGTATTTATGTATTTATGTATGTATGTATGTACGTACGTACGTACGTACGTACATACGTAGGTAGGTAGGTAGGTAGGTGGGTAGGTAGGTAGGTAGGTAGGCAGGCCTGTATGTATGTATGCAGGGGGGGATACCACGGGGGGGATACCATTTGGGGGGGGGTTGCCGGCCGCCGGCCGGGACCATATATCTGCCATGAAGCCAACACTTCACTTCCGTATTTCAAGCAACTTAGCGAACTATAATAAGTCTCATTACAATCCAATTACACGCAACCACATCACAATTTGTGCTGGTTAGAGTAATCCCATCATTGTCCTCATAATATGGTTCTGGATCAAAACATGATTAACCGACGAGATGATAGTGATCAAAGTTGCTGGTTCGTTGGCTGCCATCCGAATCTGACCCATACCGGGAATCCATGACTTTCCAGTTTAGATCCGGGGATGGCCATATCACTTTCCGTCCCAAGGATTATACTTCGAGATGACGGACACAAAGGCATCACTTGGTTGGAGCCGGGGATGTAGGGGCCCCCATGTGTGGGAGAGAGAGGCCATTCTGGGTTTCTTGAATTGAATCGAATGATTCATACAATTTGAATGCCATTGGACTGGTATGGACCACTAAAAAGATGGACCACTCAGTATACTAAAGTGGGGAACATATGAACCACCGTAAAAACCCCAGCAATATTAAATATGTATTGGATGGACATTGCTGTATGGAATTTGATTGAACTTTTTAAAACACACGGTAAGCGATAGGACCTTCCCAAATTAGCGATACCCATTTTCAAGGTTAATGTCATTGTATATTTCTCCAATATCCCACCACAATTTTTCCACCATTTTTTTCATTAGATATACAATGATATACACCCCCCATAGAGACCGACGGTGACTGGTCCCAAGGTGCCCTGGAATGATGATGTGTGGGCACCTGTTGGGGTGGCAGCTGTCTTGGTGGACCATGAGAAGAAAACCAATTAATTCAAAAATAACATGTGGGTTTGTCTGAAAATTGGGTCGACCCACAAAGTGATAGGTTCATCATCCTTATCACCATGATATTCCATAATATTCTTACTATTCGATTCCATAATATTTACAATGATATTCCATAATATTCTTACTATTCGATTCCATAATATTTACAACCCTCAGTTTTGCTGGTGAAACTCCACAAAACCATTTAAATTTCCACAAGCCAATAATTCTTAGTTGCATGTTTGGTGCTATTGAAATCACCAATTCGGTGGTCATTTGGGATGAATGAATTGTATGCCTTTATGCATTCATCTATATTTGCTGTAATTATATAATAATATACTATATATGATGACATATCCAAAGACCTATATAATATACCATTACATCCCCATTACACGATTCTCATTCAAGGTGGATTTTGTAAAACCTACAGAGTTAGGGTCACAAGCTTCCCCTGAAACTCGATGGGGAGTACCAATGATGTAGATATAATATATACATATATTTTATTCAGGTTGTATTTTATTGAGTAATATTTGATCCCTATCCCACATCCCCAACATGGTGATTTTTTCATTGCCCATTTGCCCTCCAGTGAGGTTGGACCCAGTGGAGCCTTTGCCTTCCGGTGATGTTGGACCAACATCACCGGAAGGATTGGAGCCGGGGATGTAGGGGCCCCCATGTGTGGGAGAGAGAGGCCATTCTGGGTTTCTTGAATCGAATGATTCATTCATTGGAATTGGAGGTTTTTGAGCTAACCGTGACATGAAATCCAGGCCCAAGATTTTGCAGCTTAAACTTGTGAATATTATTTTTATAAATCAGTTTCATCATTTCAGCTCATCATGAAATGCATTCACCAATGTCCATCAAGCATTTGCTACAAAATGCCCATTTGATTTTGATAAGCCCTGTAGTCCTTGGTGGTTTCCTTGGTGGTTTCCCACAATCACTCAGGCCCACCTTTTGCTGGGTGCTGTGCTCTTCGTCGTTGTCACCTGGTTGAGCAGGGTTGGGCAGGATTGGATAAACCCCGGGAAAAATATGGTCACACAAGTTGTTAAATATTCGGAGACTGGGCTAGACCACAAGGCACCGGCGGTAGTATGAAACACTATTTCCAAATAATAGTGAGTTGGATTCGTATGTTTGAATGTTCGGGCCGGCCAAGAAAACTTTTCTGGAGATACTCTAAAATACCAGTTCAGGCCAGTTTGTAATTGGAAAATTAGATGAAGTAGGTCAATCTTACATGGGTACTTTAATTCTGCAAGTCTTTGGTATTAATTGGGAATATCTTCTAACCAGCAAAGAATTTAATTTCTTGCAGGGTATCTAAGATTGGCAATTAAGTCAAGTTACGTGATGCTAATTCAGTCTTGTAGACCCTTCAAAAGAGGACGATCCATTTTACATTAGGAAATAAACAAAAATCATTGACGCATCTTCTAAATTAGTCCAATAAATTGAAATCTTTTGATACTTATGTTATCTCTGAACAAAATGATCGAAGGAAGTTTAGAAGTCAAACTTCCGACAATATGGACAGATGAAAAGCAGAGCAGGGAAGAGGCACAGAGAAGAGAAAGATTAGAAGAAAGAAGAGTAAGAAGAAAGAAGATGGAGATGCGCGAAAAGGTAGGAAAGTCGCGAGACACTGTGTTTTTCCAATGATTTGGGGCTCCGGAGGGTCGAAAAGTAGGCTCGCTAAAGCGGCGGGTGCGGAGCCAGCTGGCCAGACGAGAGATGAAAAATTGCACGCCGTTGTGGCGCGAAGCACATTTCCAAGTCAAAATGTGCAAAACACACCAGGTGCGGACCACTTTTGGCAGTTGAGATGTAGAAAAAGTGCACGCCGTTGTGGCGCGAAGCACATTTCGAAGTGAAAATGTACAAAACACATCATTCTCGGACCACTTTTGGAAGTTGAGATGTAGAAAAAGTGCACGCCGTTGTGGCGCGAAGCACATGTCGAAGTGAAAATGCACAAAACACACCATTCTCGGACCACTTTTGGAAGTTGAGATGTCGAAAAAGTGCACGCCGTTGTGGCGCGAAGCACATTTGGAAGTCAAAATGTTAAAAACACTAGGGGGTTCGGACCACTTTTGGAAGTTTAGATAGATAGATAAATAGATAGATAGATAGATAGACAGACAGATTAAAATGATAGATAGATAGATAGACAGACAGACAGACATATAGATAGATAGATAGATAGATAAATAGATAGATAGATAGATAGACAGACAGATTAGATAGATAGATAGATAGATAGATAGATAGATAGATAGATAGATAGATAGATAGATAGATAGATAGATAGATAGATAGATAGATAGAGAGACAGCTGAATAAAAAGATAGAAAGAAAGAAAGAAAGATAGATAGATAGATGGATAGAGAGATAGAGAGATAGAGAGATAGAGAGATAGAGAGATAGAGAGGTAGAGAGATAGATAGATAGATAGAGAGATAGAGAGATAGATAGATAGATAGATCGATAGATGGATAGATGGATAGATGGATAGATGGATAGATGGATAGATGGATAGATGGATAGATGGATAGATGGATAGATGGATGGATGGATGGATAGATAGATAGATAGATGGATAGATAAATCGATAGATGGATGGATGGATAGATAGATAGATATAGACTGTCACTTGTGATAGTTTGTTATTTCTTGGATCCAAAAACACAAAGGATTTTTGTTTCTTTGCCCAAAAATTCCTGACAGCAGTGCGCCTTTGCCTCTCACCAGCTTGCCTGGAACCTCCTCCTTGTCTTAGCATTCGGGTTCAATATTGCACTTGCCTTGTCTTGGAAGGGTTTAACTGTCAACAACCAAACGTTGGTGCTCAAAATCTTGGAAGCGGTTTTCTTGTCAGTGTACATGCTTTGTCAACAGTTGAACAGTTGTGCAGTTGCCTCACTTGTGGAACTTGAAAGGTCTTGATTTCACCACGTGTTGCATTTTACATGTCAAGTGGTGGGTAGGTGGGTTTTCCGTTCTCTTTTGGGGGCTTCTTGTAGTGCATGGGCGCTCGTGCACGTGGCCTTACAGCTGCAGCTCAGAAGATTCATTTGGGGCTGCCCGACAAGCGATCTCAGTTTTCATATTGGATTTGCATTTGGTTTTCTGGCTTCATTTCAGGTGGTGTCTTCATTTTGTGGCTTTTGCTGCTTTGAATGCATATTTCATTGGCCAGAGCTTGTGCATGTGATCCACAGGACGCTTGTATTTTTACCAGGCCAACCTGCGGTCTGGTTCAGGCAACCGTTTTTGCCTATCTGTCAAGGCCTGAAGCCGAGCGGGTGTTGGTATCTTGCATCCTTCTGCTATCTGACCAACGCGACATCCTCTTGAGTCGCACTGAGAGACAATTGGACATTTGTTTGTCTACGTATTCAGTACCAACTCCGCCAGTTCAAGTTTTTCTACAACCAGTTGTACCCGGTCAAGGGGTGCTGGGATCTTGAAACCATTTCTTCACGTTCCAGGTCCATTGAAAGTCAACATGTCCTGGAGGAAAAGAACGCTCACACCATTTAGGTCAGGTGATTCTGCTAGTGCAGGTGGGTCAGTGGCTGCTTCGTCAGACATTGCTCGGAGCTCAGCAGGTAGCAATGAAAACCTTTTTGGAGGATCTAATTTTGAAGTTGACTGGAAACTCACTGGTTTTGACAATTTTGGCAGTGAGCAGCGCTTGGAGTCAAAATTTCGTGGTTCACCCTGCGCTGACAATGCAGTTACAGTTGCACCATTGTCGAAGCAACAATTTGACCAATTTTGGGGTCATTCTTTTCTCAGTGTGGCACAGGCCACAGATATAAAGATGCCATGGGAGAAAGGTGTCTTCAAAAAAAAGAAATGGTGAGGAACATTCACAACCTTCCTTGAATTTGTCGTGGTTCCCACGCGCAGAGGTTTTGGAAGATTTCCCTGAGGCTACAGTGCAAGAGCTGGCAACTGTTGCCAACAGGCAGCTGGTTGGCAGGCATCTGATAGGGGACCACCCACTTACTGATAGCCTTTTTTACAAATCACTAGGGTACCGCCCTTCCATGTCCATTGCGAGTAGTAAGTAATTTTGTCCGCACCGGAAACCATGGCTGGGGCTGGCTGCGGCTGGAGAGATGCCGGGAACACCCAGCCAGTTTCAGATTTCAGTGGCCTGCTGGAGTCAAATGTGATTCAGTGGGGGAAATTAGTCAATAGCAATAGATGTTATCCGGTGGGGATAAGGCTTTATTGTTCATATCAGTAAGGGGTATTATTGATTGTAATATGTTTATATTGTGTGATCATATAAGATTACAATTGTATTTTACCTCCCAATAGTAGTGTAGATGTGGGTTGTTGCTTGGTTAAGACCTTCAGCCCTTATAATAATTGTAATTGATTGGGTCATCTTTGGGTAGGGTTGGTTGAATCCCCGTGAAAGATGGCAGGTGCGGCCTGGAAAGCAATCCTCGTTTTTTCGTTTGGAATCAGTTTTCCAGCTGCAATCAGTGTTGTTTGATTATAATGTTTATATTACATATGAGAATACAATTTATTTTAACTATTATCATATTATACATTTATTATAGGTTTATATTGTAATCACTAGCAGATTCAGTTGGCACACTCACTTGCATGCATGACCACTATCATTTGGGCATTGTTGGTCTTGCAGCTGTATTTTCAGCACAGTTTTCCAAAGTTTTTCTTTTCCCCACCCTGGTCACACATGTCACTGCTTGTCCTTTCATTTAGTTTTTGAATGTTTGATTTGACTTGTGATACATGTTTTGTCTAGACATTCCCCCGTATCATCAATTTGTGTGTCAAGATTCAAGAAATGTGTGTCATTGTGTGTCATTGTTGATGGCAAAAACAAAGATGAATGCTATGAAGCATTGAATATTGAAAGGGGGAATCATTCTAAGAATGGTCGGAACTTCTCATTCGTGATAGACTCCTTTGCTCAAGGAAAGTCAGGAACCAATTGAACATTTGACAACTTGTGATTGATTCACTAACAGAGTCACTTACATTACAGTACACCACATCACATCATATCACATCACATCATATCACATCACATCAGAATTTCATATCACGCCACGTCACATCACATCACATCACGCCACATCACATCAGAATGTCGTATCACATCATATCACATCACATCGTCATATCACACCGCATCACATCAGAATGCCATATCACATCATATCACATCACATCGTCATATCACGCCACATCAAATCATAATGTCATATCACATGACATCACGTGTCACAGCACATTGTCATAATGTGATATCATCATAACAGGGATATCAAGTTTCTGTCCTGCACGCCACATCAAATCATACAGTAATGTCATATCACATGACATCACATGTCACAGCACATCTTCATAATGTGATATTATCATAACAGGGACTTCAATTTTCTGTGCTGCAATGAAGAGGCCACTGGAGCTTCAGCTGACAAAGATCAGCATAACCCTGGCATCTGGTCGCAGTCACACGTTTGAGGTGGAGGATTGACTGCAGATGGAGGCATGGTGGATCCTACACAACCTGTGTGTCCTCTTGGACCTGATTTGACAGGAATTGTGATCCGGCCAAGGGTGGCGGCCACAGAAGGCGCATTTGCTATTTTTTGCCCGGGCAGTGGTGTCATCTCTTGGGGAAAGCATGATGAAGGTGGCGACAGCTCTGCAATCCAAGCTCAGCTCAAGAACGTGCAATCAATTGCAGCCGGTTGGTGTGCATTTGCTGCCATATTGGCAGATGGGTCAGTGGTGACATGGGGAAAACTTGAAAATGATGGTGACAGCTCTGTGGTCCAAGACCAGCTAAAGAATGTCAAGGAAATCCACGGTAATGCTGAAGGTTTTGCTGCAATTTTGGCAGATGGATCAGTTGTGTCATGGGGAGGCATTTTTAACTTTGATGAACATCCCGTGCCAGATTGGGAACACACACATCTCAATAGTAGAAGCCACCAGACCCTGAATCTGAATTGTAAAGCACCACCTACACAAATGGAAAATGTAGGCGGTTGTTGCGTGTCATCCCGTCTCGGTGACCCCCCTTGGGGTAGATAAATGGTACAGGCCTGCAACCCCACCCCTCCCCCCCCCTGCGATGGATGATGGTTCCTAGGGTTGGGTGTACTAGTACTATCTCCCTAGAATCCAACTATCATGCAAGGTATCTCTGCTTCCCCGCCCCCCCATGTGGGGTGGGTTGGGTGTAGTATGTATGTACCTACGTAGGTTGGTAGGTATAGGCATGTATGTATGTGTGTATGTCTGTATTTATGTATGTATGTAATGTATGTATGTAATGTAATGTAATGTAATGTAATATAATGTAACGTAATGTAATGTAATGTATGTATGTATGTATGTATTTATGCTTCCCCGCCCCCACCTGCGTAGGTAAGTAGGTAGGTAGGTAGGTAGGTAGGTAGGCCTGTATGTATGTATGCAGGGGGGGGATACCATTGGTGGGGGGTTGCCGGCCGCCGGCCGGGACCATATATATCATCATTTTGCCTTTTTTTGAATTTGCCATTTGAACATGTCTACCACATTTTCAGACACACAATTGTTTTAGACTTTGCGCGTTTTTGTTTTCAAAGAGCTTGTGGACTTTGTGACCCTTGTGATGAAGTCAACCGTGACACTTGCAGCTGAAGCAAGCGGTCGAATTTCCACTCCCAAAATGCGGCAGGTGACGTGTGATGTTGGTTGTTTGAGTTCCCCGCTGACATTGGTGGTTAGGGCATCAATTACCCTCTGGTAAACTAACATAGCGAACTGGAAAATCACCATTTTTAGTGGGTAAATCAACTATTTCGATGGCCATTTTCAATAGTTATGTTAAATTACCGGAGGGTATCATAAGTGGTCATAGTGATCCTTCTAATCCCTTTCCGCAAAAAGATTCCTATGTTTCTTGGTTCTCATCCCATTCTCAACCGCAGAGCATCACAGGGCAACCATATTTGGGAACCATATTAGTTCCCGTTGGTTCGACGCCAGGCGATGCGCTGGTCGCTCAGGGGACATGTTGCAGGGGGAGATATGAAGAGAGGAGCAACAATGATACGGAAATGTGGCGAAATATGATGACAGATGATGAAAGGCAATGAAAGGCGGTGAAACATTATGAAACATTATGATACATTATGAAACATTATGAAACATTATGAAACATTATGATACATTATGAAACATTATGAAACATTATGAAACATTATGAAACATGATGAACGATAATGAAATAAAGCAAAATATGATAAAATTGTGATGAACTATGAAACATGATGAACTATAATTCTGAGCTATACTGAATCCAAGAAAAATTGTTGGGTTCCCCTAAAAAGTGCCAGAAGAACTGGATAGACCTGGCCTTTTGGTCCAGCATGGTCCAGCTATGCTTATCTCCAAGGTCCAGCTCTGAAAGCGATGAGCCGGAGGAGCAAGGGGTGCTGGGTTTTCCACCATGGCGATGCCACCGCCAGGAACCAGGAATTCTCAGTGAATATTTGGGGACATTGTGGGACGGAAATCTGTGGATAGAATTGGATAGATGAGTAGATTCAGTAGATGCATGGATACTTTGGATGGATGGATGGATGGGCCCCGGCAGGAGGCTCCCACCGGTGCGCCGCGGACGGATTCCCGGAAAGGCGCCATGACCCGTGGGAGAAACTTTGTTCCAAGATGTAAAACCCAGGGTAGCATTGATGTTGTGTCCATTTTTTAGGATCGTAAGCCATCCCACTCCTGGGCATTCAATCATTTGACCCATCCCCAGGGTAGATATATGTGGTGGAACTCAATAGAAAACTCAGCCTTTTGTAGATGCGTCAGCAAACGCTTCTGGCACACTGAGATTCTGATCCTTTTTTGAGGGTGGGTGGGGTTGTTTGTGTTATTGTGTTGTTTTCTCTTTGTTTGCGGTTGTTTTCCTGTTTTGGGTTTTGTTATTTGGGGGGTGGGGTGTGGGGTTTTTTGTTTGGGGTTTTTTTGTTGTCCTTATGTCCCACGACGGCCTGTTTTGGGGTGGTTGTGGGGGGTTGGTGGTTTGGGTGGGGGGCGGGGTTGCGGGCGAGGGCTTCGGGTTTGGCGGGGGGGTTTGCGGGTGGGTGTGTTCTTGTGGGTTGGTGGGGGTTTGGGGACTTATGGGGGGGGCGTTTGGGGGGGTGGGTGGGCGAGGGGGGGCGGGGGCGGCCGGGGTGCGTGGTGTTGGGGGGTGAGGGAGGTCGGAGGTACGACACGAACGATCTTTTACAAATACGGGTGAATAAAGGGGAGTATCCAGGGTATCCAGTTGAAATATCCAGCTTATTAGGGTATACGCCATGAAAAACGCCCATTTATTGCAATTTTGCCTGCTTACTTTGCTGAAATGGAGGTGCTGCGGGCGTGGCTGACGAGGTGCTGCTGGTTCACGGTGCTACCTCCAGGGGATCCAAAAATAGGATGGATCGGATAGGGATTTCACCATGAAAAATGGATGAATTCACCATGAAAACTGCGGATGTCACCTTCAAGAATGAATATTCACCCATGAAGGTGAGATTTAACTGCAGATTTCAAAGTTGATTTAGCTTTCACTGTGAAAAGCGGGATTTCACCATTGAAAAGGAGGATTCCATTTGTAAAATGCGGTTTGTTCAAGAATACTCCAAGTTCTGCTATAAGTTGAAAAGAACATGATCAACAGCTTTGTTAGTAATTCCCCTATTTTGAAACAAACCCACAATGCTCAAATTCTCATGACTTGTCACCATATCCAACATTCTCGATGCTTATTTTTTGGGGGTGTGATAGTGTTTTATCAGCATAGATGATGAACATTGATGAACTATTCAAATTCAAACTGCGGAAAATCTTAGTGAACCAGCTAGAGTCAAAGGATAACCGATGGACAATGCTGCAATTCTTCACGGCAACACCTCAAGGGATTCGGATGATTCGGCAAGGATGATGTGAAGACGTCGTGAAGACGTCGTGACGTTTCTTTCGATTGTCTTCGATCTTCGATATCGGCCGGTTGCAGTGTGAAAACCTGGATACTTCACAAAAGCTCCTGTTCTGGTTTGTTTCCATAATTAACTACACCATATATCACCATATTATATACATCATATTACAATATTCCACATGACATCACATCGTTTGGGTGAACAGATGGGAAAGTTTTAATACATAAAGCCGCTTCATTGGCCGATCAGCTCCGACCAGCTTGGAGGTTTTCCAAAAATCGGTCCATGTTTGATGCTTAAATCCGACCAGCACGGCCAGCAGGTTGAGCCCAAGAAGGCCAACTCCAAAGCGGCTTCCAGGTGACAAAAGGGCGGAACATCATCTACAGATGATGGGTGTTCCACATTAGCAGGATGGCAACTGATTTACAACGGAGGGCTAATTATTTTAGGATTTTTTTTTGATCAGGTTTAGGAATTATTTTTGGATTCCTGCTTCTCTGCTTTTCCTGCTTTTCCTGCTTCTCTGCTTTCCTGCTTTTCCTGCTTTTCCTGCTTTTCCTGCTTTTCCTGCTTTTCCTGCTTTTCCTGCTTTTCCTGCTTTTCCTGCTTTTCCTGCTTTTCCTGCTTCTCTGCTTTTCTGCTTTTTTGCTTTTCTGCTTCTCCTGCTTCTCTGCTTCTCTGCTTTTCTGCTTTTTTGCTTTTCTGCTTCTCCTGCTTCTCTGCTTCTCTGCTTTTCTGCTTTTTTGCTTTTCTGCTTCTCCTGCTTCTCCTGCTTCTCTGCTTTTCTGCTTTTTTGCTTTTCTGTTTTTCCTGTTTCTTTGCTTCTCTGCTTTTCCTGCTTTTCCTGCTTCTCTGCTTTTCTGCTTTTCCTGCTTCTTTGCCTTTCTGCTGTTTTGCTTTTGTGCGTTTCCTGTTTCTTTGCTTCTCTGCTTTTTTGCTTCTCTGCTTTTTTTTTGCTTTGCCTGCTTTAAATACTTGATTTTCATGTAAGATGCATTTTGCACAGTATTTAAGTATTTACATCCCTGAGTATCACATGACCAACCTTCTCTTGAAAACTAGCAACGTAACATGTGAGAAGAGGTGCTTGCATTCTGCTTTGGGGGAGGCGCTGCGCCCTCCCCCCAATCCCCCCCTCCCGCTTTTTTTTATTTAAACTTAAACCCAAGTTACATTAGTTGGTTTTTGCGAACTAACCTTCTCTGGAAAGCTGACAGGATTACATGTGATAGATAGATAGATAGATAGATAGCTGATAGATAGCTTGGTAGATAGATAGCTAGATCGATAGATAGCCAGTTAGCTAGATAGATAGATAGATAGCTAGATAGATAGATAGATATATAGATAGATACCTCGATAGATAGATGGCTAGATAGATAGCTAGATAGATAGATGGCTAGATAGATAGCTAGATAGATAGATAGCTAGCTAGATAGATAAAGAGGTAGCTAGATAGATAGCTAGATAGATAGATAGATAGATAGATAGCTAAATAGATAGGCAGATAGTTAGCCAGATAGATAGATAGCTAGATAGATAGCTCGTTAGCTAGATAGCTGGATAGACAGCTGGATGGCTAAATAGATAGATAGCTAGATAGATAGAAAGCTAGATAACTAGATAGCTAGATAGATAGTTAGCTAGATAGCTCGATAGCTGGATAGACAGCTGGATGGCTAGATAGATAGATAGCTAGATAGATAGAAAGCTAGATAGCTAGATAGCTAGATAGATAGTTAGCTAGATAGCTAGATAGGTAGATAGATAGCTAGCAAGATAGCTAGCTAGATAGGTAGATAGATAGCTAGATAGATAGATAGCTTGCTAGATAGATAGATAGCTTGCTAGATAGATAGCTAGCTTGCTAGATAGATAGCTAGCTAGATAGCTAGCTAGCTGGATAGATAGCTAGCGCCCTCCCTCAATCCCCCCCACCCGCTTTTTATCTAATCCCAAGCTTCCGCGTCTGTAAATATTTGGGTGAACATGCTCACATGTAGAACATCCCATGCAAAATGGAAGGTGAACATGCCAAAATGTGGCAATTCCATACAAAATGGAAGGTGAACATGCCCACATGTAGGAAATCCCATGCAAAATGGAAGGTGAACATGCCAAAATGTGGCAAATACCATACAAAATGGAAGGTGAACATGCCCACATGTAGTAAATCCCATGCAAAATGGAAGGTGAACATCCCCAAATGTGGCAAATACCATGCAAAATGACAAATTCAAGTTCCAAACCGTTGCAAACACTAGGCAAATGGTACCAGCCAAGAAATCCAAAAAAAAATCCCAAACCTGCTCAAAAAAAAATCCTAAAACTATTTCACACCCATTTACAACTAAAGGATTTGCATAGTACATTTGCTATCGATTTCCCATTGAATTGATTTGAGTTGTGGATCGGATGCGTTTGTTCTTCAAGAAAAATTAGAACGAACAGTTTCAGAAGACGCTATTGACCAACTCTGGAGTTTTGGAGACATTGGGATTCATGCCAGCATTTTGATGTTCACAATTTTGACTTCCATTTTGTTCAGATATGGTCAGATTGGCATTTGTTTGTTCATAAGATCTCAATTGTTATTTTCAAATCGCTATTCTTGTTTACAAACACTGTTCTTCTTAAAATTCGAATTTTGATGGCGCAATCCACAGGGTTCCTCCTAAAATGTTCATTCCTGTAGTAAAATCACCATTTTTGTGGTGGCTCATGCCATCTGCCATCAGGCCCCGAGACCGCGGCCCCGAGTTCTCCTTTAGCGCGTTGGCCAAAAGGCACGTACCATATTTTATGGGATGCCAGGGGGGAGTTTGAGATTCTTGTTTGTTTTTCGGATGACCATTCTGGGCGATTTCTAGGTGATTTGTATATTTGTGGCGGTAAATTCAGCAACATGATACTATCATATATATATATATATATACCAGTAGTACCCGCACGAGGCGGGGCGGAAGTTGCCTTAAAGATATATATGAGACCTTTCTCATCTATAGAACTTGCATGCGCCGTGCGCCAGCCAAGCCCGTGCGTGCGTGCACTCTGCGAAAGTTGTGTCCTGCTTCACATGTCACATGTGAAGCTCCACTTCGCACTTCACACTCCACACTTCACACTGCACTCTTCGCACTCCACACTTCACACTTCACACTGCACTCTTCGCACTCCACACTTCACACTTCACACTGCACTCTTCGCACTCCAAACTTCACACTTCTCACTTCTCACTCCACACTTCACACTCCACACTTTACACTCCACGCTTCACACTTCTCACTGCTTTCTTCAGACTCCACACTTCATACTTCACACTTTACACGTCACAGTCCACACTTCACACTTCTCATTGCTTTCTTCACACTCCCCACACTTCTTCACTCCACAGAGAAGCTTTTACACACAGCAAGCTTTCACACACAGCAAGCATTTACACACAGAACACTTACACACAGTGCTTTTACACATGGCAAGCGCTTACACACACACAGAAACTTTTACACAGAGAAGCTTTTACACACAGCAAACTTTTACACACAAAACTTTTACACACAGCAAGCTTTCACACACAGCAAGCGTTTACACACAGTACTTGCACACAGTGCTTTTACACATGGCAAGCGTTTACACACAGAACACTTACACACAGTGCTTTTACACATGGCAAGCGTTTACACACACACCAAAAAAAAAACTTTTACACAGAGACACTTTTAACACATGCACAGATAAGCTTTTACACACAGCAAACTTTTACACGCAACATCTTTTACACACAGCAAGCTTTCACACACAGCAAGCGTTTAGACACAGAACACTTACACACAGTACTTGCACACAGTGCTTTTACACATGGCAAGCGTTTACACACAAACTTTTCCACACAGGAATTGCAGCTCCAAAACCGGATCTCGACGCCAAAGCAGAAAAAAGACAATTTTGAAACACTTTTTAAAAGGGATTTTAAAAGGAAAATTACTAGCGCCAAAATTGCGAAAAAAGGTTTTGCGATTGAAAGTGGGTCTCTGGAATTTGATTTCTTTAGGTGGATCCATATGTATGCAGATTGTTTGGCAAGGAGCCATTATATTTGAATATTATTTGAATGTGTTTGAATTTAACTACTTCATTTTTTCTTAATTAAGTCGCAGATAAGTTACTTTTTGGCATCTAATTCCAGGACCAAGGGAATCATATCATATATATATAATATATTGATAGCATATCGTTACGCTCATTTCATAGCATGCAGGTGTATAAATGCGACGACTCCGAAGATGCACGTATACACAAGGTCTTGCTTTGTTTGATTTTTCTTGGGTTTTGCACGTACATTGATACTGGGATATGGTATTTTAATTCAAGGTGTGCAACATTCTTTCCAACACCAAACCAAAGGAATTGGAAGGAATCATGAAACTTAGTGCCAAACACAACATGAGATTAAGAGGCACGATATCAATAACTAATGAAATCTTAACCGCTTATCTATTTGGATCCAACCAGCAGGGAATCCATCCAATGGCAACCATCAGGATCCATTTACGATACAAAAAAAGGGATAGGTGGCGTTGATTAAATCTGAGGATCTCCCACGGGTTGAATAGATGATTTTCCCCAAACATTTTGCATTGTGCTGAACGCGCAGAAATATAAATATGTAATTTTCTAACCTTCTACAACGGGTTAACCCTAAATTAGAACATAGTAAAGTTGATATCATTAGTTTGCATATTTTGTGGGTGGGCCTGTGCCGCCTGCATTGTGGGGCTGCAAGCCGGCAGCAAAAATAAGAACAAAGTGCGTCCTGCGGTTGGTAATGGGTCCTCAGATAGGCTGATGTTTTTTCGTCTTAAATCCGGGTTGAACGATCCCGAATTAATTGAACAGAAACCATCAAAAACCTATGGATTAATGCCCCAAAGCTTTAAAGCAACCCCCAAAAAATACCAAAGTGCGTCCTGCGGTAGATAATGGGTCCGGAGACAGGATGAATAAAATTTTATTCGTCCTAAATTCAAGTTCAACGACCCCGAATCCACTGAACAGAATCATGGAAATTAAGGAAATTATAGGTTTTCGTCCTAACTCAGCTGCGCGTTTTGTACCCCCGAGATCGGATCAATAATTTTTTTTTCGTCCTATATCCAGGGTCTGAGGTACACTTCGTCCTAACTCAGCTGCGCGTTTTGTACCCCCCAAGATCGGCTGAAACCCATCTCAACCCCTGGATTTAGGATCGATAAATTTTTTTTCGTCCTAACTCAGCTGCGCGTTTTGTACCCCCTGAGATCGGCTGAAACTTGTTTTTTTTAGGGTGTGAGGTACATTTCGTCCTAAGTCAGCCGCGCGTTTTGTACCCCCCAAGATAGGCCGAACTCCGCCTCAACCCCAGGATTTAGGCTGAGTTTTTTTTTCGTCCTAACTCGGGGGGCGCGTTTTGTGCACTGGACAATCCCATTCAGCCCTCAGCATTGAACATATCATCAATATCGGATGTTTACCACAACTCTCTTGAGTTACATTTTATCGCGTGAACAGGATCTCAAACTAGAAATTTATGATAAAAACTTAGTGAACACTTATGATCATTCAGCGGCGTACTGTACTTTGCGCCGTCGTGGCATATAGATCAACATATTGTACTTTGCGCCGTCGTGGCGTCCAAAGCTTGGATTCATCAATATTTAGTTGCATTAAAACCAAATATTCATACTATATTCAAATACATCATTTAACAACTTGAAATAGGAAGCTTTGATGACATAACATCTACTCAAAATAATGGACCTGGAATAAACATATATATATATATATGGTACACACACACACATATATATATATATAATCGCCGCATGATACTGGGATTCTTTCAAACAAAAAATGAGGCAAACATTCGAAAAGCAATATTTGGAAATTTAAATGGGGAATGCATTTGCAAGTGTTGGGGGTTTAAAACGTAAGGAGAGAACCAAATCCAAAACGAGGGGGGTGGAATCCTTAACGGTGGAACCCATATAATAAAATCTGATGAACGAACGAGGAAATAAAGTCTGACATGGGAAAATAATGATGAATATGAAATTGAAAACGTTCGGGGATAGTCTAGAATCTAGATGGATATATAACTGGAATATATATGGGGCCGTTATAGTAAATATTATGCAGCGGGCGATTTTGAAAACAAATCGGACTCCAGAAGTCTTGTTCCGGGAAACCAGAACGGATCAGGATACAAATATATCTCCCTAGCATTTAGTACGACGGAAAACTTGGATATATATATATATATATAAATATATAAAATAAATTTTACAGTATCTAAAACCATGACTGCAAACTAGAATTCAAACCCCAAATCAAATTCAAACAGCCCTGAATCAAATACAATTCCTTAGTTTTTGACGTCCAACGTCCATTTCGTGCGAAAGGGTTGCGACGTGCTAACTAAAATCGCAATTTTACTTCAGTTTTTGACGTCCAACGTTCATTTCGTGCGAAAGGGTTGCGATGGGCCAAGTAAAATCGCAATTTTACTTCAGTTTTTGACGTCGAACTTCCATTTCGCGTGTAAGGGTTGCCCGTGACACCTCAAAATCGCAATTTTACCACAGTTTTTGACGTCCAACGTCCATTTCGTGCGAAAGGGTTGCGACGTATTAACTAAAATCGCAATTTTACTTCAGTTTTTGACGTCCAACGTTCATTTCGTGCGAAAGGGTTGCGACGGGCCAAGTTAAATCGCAATTTTACCGCAGTTTTTGACGTCCAACGTCCATTTCGTGCGAAAGGGTTGCGTTTCGTGGCGCTCCGGCGGCACCGCCCCCGCCTTAAGAGAGAGATAGAAAGAAGAGCGAGAGGAGATGTGCAGATGTGAAGGTGTGAAGATGTAGATCTGCAGATGTGAGGGTGTGAAGATGTAGATCTGCAGGTGTGAGGGTGTGAAGATGTAGATCAGCAGATGTGAGGGTGTGAAGATCTAGATCTGCAGATGTGAGGGTGTGAAGATGTAGATCTGCAGGTGTGAAGGTGTGAAGATGTAGATCAGCAGGTGTGAGGGTGTGAAGATGTAGATCTGCAGGTGTGAGGGTGTGAAGATGTAGATGTGGAGATGTGAGGGTGTGAAGATGTATTACAACGGCTGCTTTTTTACGAAGAACCCTTCGCAGGCGCTCTCGGGAATACTAGTTGTAGTTATAGTTGTAATGTAATTAGTTTAGTGTAATGTAATTAGTGTAGTGTAGTGTAATTAGTGTACTGTAGCGTAATAAATTTGCATTTGTAGTTGTAGCTGTAGTTGTAGGTGGTAGTGTAGTCTACTTGTAGTTGCAGTTGTAGTTGTCTATCTATCTATGTATTTGTCTAGTATCTATCTATGTATTTGTCTACTATCCATAAATCTATCTATCTATCTATTTACTGTCTATCTATCTATCTATCTGTCTATCTATCTATCTAGCTAGCTATCTATCTATCTATCTACCTATCTATCTATCTACCTATCTATCTATCTATCTATCTATCTATCTATCTATCTATCTCTGTCTCTCTCTCTCTCTATCTATCTATCTATCTATCTATCTATCTATCTATCTATCTATCTATCTA